TTAGTGTCAGTCTCCAAAGTTCTGGCAAATAGCAATTCTTCGTGAATTTCTTCCTCAACAATAAATCGGACATATGCCAATAGTAATGCTTCATTACTGGGTAACGTTGACTCGTCCAGTTGTATAGAAAAATGAGTTTTTTGCAGATGATTGCACAAAAAGCTTTCGATATCAGAGCTCATTTCATCAATGCGTCTTTGTACAGTATTGTTACTTAATGGAATTCTTTTTAGTACGTCAAATGGAGATTTGTGCAAAACAGTTTTTAAAACCTCTTCAACAGCGGGTAAAATTAATTGTTCTCCGATAGTGTGCGGTTTTCCAGATTTTGCTATAAGTAATGAGATATTGTAAGATGCCCGCAAGCCATCATCGTTACTTTGAGATGTTGAAGCGAACATACTGTGCATGGTGGGTCTCTTTCCATATTTTTCTTTCAATGTTTGAAAATATTTTAAATCTTTACCTATTTTATCAGTATGACACCTTTTTAGATGATCTTCGAGCTTTGATGGTTTCATAGAGTCATTGCTCAAAACTTTGTTGCATAATAGGCACATGGGCAATTGTTTGTCTGCCTCTGATGGAACAAAACCATATTTCAAATAATCGATACTATATTGTCGACATTTTTTCTTTGCTGTAGCCATGTTTCGTGTCAGTTACCTTACCTGTAAAAAAAAATGTTTTAGTAACCAAGTTTTTTTCTGAATATAGGTATCACACCGCAGCCTTTGTCAGCACGCGGAAATAGAATTACGGCTTGTAAAGGACCAACTAATAAACCGCTGAGACAAATACAGACGTTTTCTCACAAAACGGTATCAATTTTAAAGTACATAATTTACCACTAATTTTTAATAGTATAAATAAAAATTGGTGTACTCAGTATCGAATACTGATCATATTTGTGTAGGAAAAATAAAAGTCGAAATCCCAAAATTGTCCATAAAAACGATAACTAACATTTTATTAAATCAATGAGTTCACGCGCTCCGTGTATTTGCGTATTTTTTGTCTGCGGCTTCATTGTTAAAACGTGACAAACTGGCATCGAAGTCCAAGCCCCGCCCTTTTTCCTGTCGCCCGCGCACCGCCTGCTCTTTCCGAAAAGGAATAGTTTTGATAAAATAGTTACTTCAAAACCAATTTAAAATGATTATGAAATTACTGTTTTATAAAATTAGTAGTTATTTGCAAGAAAAATTACAAAATTAATTGCTCCGCAATATTGCTTATTCGGCCTTTTTAGAGAGGCAGTGTTTCTCTCGTGAAAAAACAATTGAATAAAACGTGCTGTGTTTGTCTTCAAATCGAAAGAGGACAATTAAAATATCTGTAAGTTACTAAGTTACCTATCTATACAGGCTGTTGTGATCAACCGACTAGTACACGTAAACAAAATACTTGGGTAATTATAACAAAAAAGGTAGGTTACTTACTTTTCTCCGGCACTAGCAAACACAGATATAAATTTTCTCACAACTTTTTCCAAATTCCGCCTTTTTTCGAAATTCCGGAAACAAATGAATGCGTTTGCCTTTGGCATCAAGTATTTATAGTGGTGATCAAGTTCATGTCTGAACAAGCATTAAGCATTGTCGGGCGGATAGCGCTTTGCAAGTCTGTACACGAAATTGTACGTAATATCGAATACGCAAAGTTTGGACAAGTAACAGTCAGTTGGCCTTATTAAAATATTATCTGCTTAGATAGGTACTTAAAACAATGTAGGTAGGCCCTTATAAAAACTATGCTTACATTTTTGCTCTTTACTATCAAAAGCAGATAAATTTTCGTGGACCCCCATTAACATCTTATGGACCCCCATTTTTTGTTCACGCCTACGTAGACCCCCAGCAAGTCTCCCGTGGACCCCTGGGGGTCCACCTGGACCACTTTGGGAATCACTGACATGGACGATAATGCTCCTCCCCATCGCACTTTAGCGGTTCGCGAATTTTGTGAGGAAGAGGGTATAAGAAGACTGTGGTGGCCACCGATGTTTCCAGATATGAATGTGATCGAGCATGTTTGGGACATGCTAAAACGTCATATTGCCAAAAAATATGAAATAAAATTATAATAACAGCCTAGCTGCACTTAGATTTTTAATTTTATATTAGGTAGTCGTGTAGTAAGCCAATATGTCCAAAAATATAAAAATAGTCATATTAGGTCCAAAATAAAATAAATATATCGTTATATGCAATAATTTTGGCCATGTGATGTAATGCTACTAAAATACTATAATGCTTCCTCTCAAGAAATATTGGCTCAAACGGCCCTTTCTCAAAGTAGGTAGTGTTAATAGAATTGTAAAAAAACATAAATATGATCTTTCTCAATTGGAACTACATCCAGATCTAAATGAGGAATGTATAGAATGAATTTCGCAATGCATATGCTTAATACAGTTCATGAAGAATATACCCCATTAACTAAAATTTAATTTTCTGTTGAAACTACCTTTGAAAACAATGGATTAGTAAATAGACGTAATATTCAATATTATGTAACAGAGAGCACACACTCTAGGAGATAGATAGGTAGGACACCTATTAATAATAAACGCCCCTACTACTGAAAGAGTGAAAGTCAGATCTTGTTTTATATTTTCAAAAAAAAAACAATTTTTGTTGACCTATTTAGTTGTTTTCGGTCTCTTCCTGTTTCACCGGAAATGACTACAACTTGCTACAACTTTTGATTTTTAAATGGCACCCTAGATATTTTTTTACTTTATTTGATTAAAAATGACACTCTCAATCGAATGACATATCATATGTCAACTTTTGACATATTCGCTCAAGAACAAATTGTATTTTAAATTTCAATCTAGAGTTTGCTAGAGGCTGCAAATTATCAAGGAGCCTTGGAAAATAGATTTGATCGTCTAATGTTTTAGTGTCTTGTCCTGGCCGGTTAAAAGATGCCCAAATCGTATTTTTAATGCTATGTGAATTTTTTCAAAGGGAATGAGGGTGGCTCATTAGCATATTTGGAAAAAGCATTTTTTTACGAATAATTTGATACCACATACTTGGTATTTCGAATCAAATTGTCGTTATGAACCGCATGTTACAATTTCAAATAAATCATATGCGAAAATGTCAAATGCTGACAAATGATATGTCATTCTATTCAGAGTATCATTTTCTATCAAATAAAGTAAAAGAATACCGCTAAATTTCCGGTGAAACCGGAAGTGACCGAAAACAATTGAATGTGTCAATCAATCCTAATTTATTTCATATAACTAACATACCAAATCTCGTAGTTGTCAGTTGTTTATCTGAAATATTTTTTTGTTCATATCTGTGAATTTAGTTTAAAAACGGTTATATTTCAAAATTCACTCGATATAGTATGTGGCATTATGGCATTTTTGGAACGGAAATTTAGTGGCAAAACCACTGAGCTAAAGAAATATATAGTATTCCATTTAAAAACATACAACTTTGATTTGAAAATATGTTTAAATCACCCTGTATATTGACAAAAATATTTTTAAAATGTGCGTTACCATTGCCCCCATATTTTATAAAAAAATTGAAACTAAATTCACAAAGCAAAAGCCTAATATATTTTTCGGAAGTCTGAATCACCCTGTATACTTTGTATTTATTAGAGATGAGCAAACCTGTGATTCTCCAATCGTAATTGAAATTGCTATTGCGATTTGTAACGACGGACGCTGCGATTGTAACCTGTGATTGCGATTTTAATATTTAAATATTTTACTAGGCATTCTATTCAGAGTGTTATTTTCCATCGAGTAAAGTAAAAAAATACCGAAGGTGCCATTTAAAAATCAAAAGTCGTAGTCATTTCCGGTGAAACAGGAAGTGATCGAAACAAATTGAATACGTCAATCAATCCTAATTTATGTCATAGTAACAACCCAATTCGCTCACAGATAGTTCATTTTATGTAGAATTGACTGTCGAAAACCGTTTTCCGATATCTCTAACAGATTTCGAGTTATTTGAAAATCTGCAAAAGAAATATTTTTTTCTGTTTTTCGAAACATTTAACACCAAATATCTCTGGAACAAAAGGTGTGAATCTCAAAAACGATACCGTTTTTGTAAAGTACACATTCAGCGCTACAACATATTACGAAATAAGCAAAATCGATTTTCCAAAATTTTTCGAAAAAAATCCTCGGCACAACCCTGTCGATTTTGTCAAGAACCGAAATCTCTCAGATCGCAACTAAAATATGCTCACAGATAATTCATTTTATGTAGAATTGACTGTCGAAAACCGTTTTCCCATATCTCTAACAGATTTAGTTTTATTTGAGAAAATCTACAAAAGAAATATTTTTTTCTGTTTTTCGAAACATTTAACATCAAATATCTCTGGAACAAAAGGTGTGAATCTCAAAAACGATACCGTTTTTGTAAAGTACACATTCAGCGCTACAACATATTACGAAATAAGCAAAATCGATTTTCCAAAATTTTTCGAAAAAAATCCTCGGCACAACCCTGTCGATTTTGTCAAAAACCGAAATCTCTCAGATCGCAACTAAAATATGCTCACAGATAGTTCATTTTATGTAGAATTGACTGTCGAAAACCGTTTTCCGATATCTCTAACAGATTTCGAGTTATTTGAGAAAATCTACAAAAGAAATATTTTTTTCTGTTTTTCGAAACATTTAACACCAAATATCTCTGGAACAAAAGATGTGAATCTCAAAATCGATACCGTTTTTGTAAAGTACACATTCAGCGCTACAACATATTACGAAATAAGCAAAATCGATTTTTCAAAATTTTTCGAAAAAATTCCTCGGCACCCCCCTGTCGATTTTGTCAAAAACCGAAATCTCTCAGATCGCAACTAAAATATGCTCACAGATAGTTCATTTTATTTTATTACTTTATTTAGATATAAGTTTTTACACTATTCCAAAAGAGAATTTTTAGTAGTTCAAGTAAGTTTACTAAGAAGAATCTTCAATTTATCTTATCTTTCTTTTGTTGCAGAATATCAATAGCAACATTCGCCAAGCCTCCAATGCTCACTTAGCTCACCTGCTGGAATGGGCAAAGTTATTGCCCCATTTTACAGCCCTCAATTTGCAAGATCAAATAATGCTGTTGAAGCACAGTTGGAACGAACTGCACATAATTGCGCTGGCGTATCGGTCTTTGGGAGTGGAGGAGGGTATAGTGCTGTCAACGGGGTTGACCATCAACAAGTAAGTTCTATATTCACCAAGGTGTATTGGAGCCATACCAATAGGTATGGTAGGCCATTAAGATCGACAAAAAAAAGTTTTTTTAATTTCACTCAAAATGAGTTATTTGGGTCATAAATGACCTAAATACAAAATATTTTCATGGTGTCTGTCTGTCCGTCTGTAACACGATAACTCAAAAACCGCTAAACCGATTTTAACCAAATTTGGCACAAAAATACCATGGCACCCGAGAATCTGGCCATTAGTTTTTGTGGTGGGGGTGGGGGGTTGGTAAGGGGGTATGGGAGGGGGTTAAAAATTTTAAAAAATCGTAACTCCAAAATTACAGTACCTAGCGAAACGCGGTTTTCAATTTTACATTAGGAATAATATTTGCAACAAAATTTGTAATAACATCAAAATCTGTCAAAGTCGCAGTTTTTGAGATAAAAAAAATTGGAAAAATTCCTTTACTTTGAAACTAAAAGAACTGCCTACCAACTTTTTATTAACATATTTTAGTATGGGCGGCTATACTTGCCTCCCGGCGCCAATTTTTTTTATTTTAGTTTTATAGTGATTAATAAAATTGCGTTTATATCATCCAGGATATAGAAATTGACAAAATATATAGAGACAACTTTTAATCGGCATTAAACGGTCTATACAATAATTTTGCTAACAAGAGATTAAAAATTCAGTGGCGTACATGTTTTTTTTTAGAAAAATGTTCCAGTGATAACTCATATCGTCGGTGAATTGTGATAAACTGCTAACTCCGTTATTCATAATTTCTATTTTAGAGAGATTTTAAATTATATAGAGATAAAAATAATCTTTGTTGGGGAACAATAAAACATAATATTTCCTTAAAAATTTTACGTAAAATTCATGTATTAAACGTATTATTTACTTAAAATCAAAAATGGAGTTAGCAGCGTTTCACTGACAATATGCATATCCCTGGCGAATATGTCGAACTTATAGTAACTTTTTTCCAAATTTTCTTTCGAATCGCTAAAAATACTTGGAAGAAAAATATAATAAATAATAATTAAAAAATTATGATTTTAACCCCCTGTAGCTACTAAGGTTTCCGGAACCGGAGCTGTTTTTCGGAACCGGGAATTTCGGTAGCGCGCCTCTAGGAACCGGGATTTCCCGTTTTTTTCGGTACTTTCGGTACTGACTAATTTTTGTTCAATGGTTGTGCAGTTCATCAATCAGAAAGCAAGGGATGGGTTTTCAAAGTAAAATGGATAAAACATTGAGATTTTTAATGGAAATAATATCAAATTATTAAGTAATCAGTTATGAAAAAATCAACAAGAACACAAGCATGATCAGAAGTAAAGAAAAACGTATATGTAACTTAAATTTCACATCAAACAACATACCAAACCAACTTAACTGAATTTGAGACAAAAGCCCTAAAATATTGAATTAAAAATGCAAATATCTATTAAAACATAACATAATAAATATTATAGAACTTCAAAAGAGAAAAGAAGCAAGAACAATCAGAAATAGCATCATTACTTATCTAGAAGAGTTTGATTTCGACCGCTAGACAGTATCAAAGGACTTTCTCACGTAACAAAAAAATATTTTTTTAATTATTGTTACCGAGGTCCGGTTCTGTGATGGCCAAAAGGATCTGAACCTTAATTGGTAGTATTAATTAGAGTTTCCAGAACCGTACTAAAATATTTTCGTTCAACGATTGTGGAGTTCGTCAATTAGCAAGCAAGGGATCAAAAGTAAAATCGATAAAAAAATTAGGTTCAAATGAAAATAATATCAAATTATTAAGTCATGAGAAAGTAAATATGAACACAAATAATGAACACAAGCGGAAAGAAAGAAAACACATAGGTAGCTGAAAATTACGTCAAACAACATCAACAAACCTCGAAAACTTAACTAAATTAGAAAAAAACTTAACATTTTCAATTCAAGATTCAAATGCCTATAAAAACATAACACAAAAGATATAACTAATATAAGGGAAATTAAAATAACTTTGGTTGCACATCATAATACGACCACCAGCAAACTCCATAAGACGACGCATGGTGTCATTGATTTCCCAATATTATGCTAAATAATGAAATAACATATTTAAACCTCAATAATTGCTAATAAACATTATAGAAACTTTAACTTCAGAAGTGACAGTAAACATATTTATAACTTCAGAAGTAAGAACTGTAAGAGATAGCATCACTACTTATTAGAAGAGTTTGATTTCGACCGCTAGGAAGTATCAAAAGTCTTTCGCACGTAACAAAGGATAATACATTCAGCAATATTATGCTAAATAATGAAATAACATATTTAAACTTCAATAATTGCTAATAAACATTATAGAAACTTTAACTTCAGAAATGACAGTAAACATTTATAACTTCAGAAGTAAGAACTGTAAGAGATAGCATCACTACTTATTAGAAGAGTTTGATTTCGACCGCTAGAAAGTATCAAAAGTCTTTCGCACGTAACAAAGGATATGGTTTTAATTATTATTACCGAGTCGTACCGGAATTCCCGGTACTTTCGGTACCGGGATTTCCCGGTTCTGAACCCTAGTAGCTATGAAACAAAGCAAAATAGGACCTATGTTAATATAAAAAATAAATCTTAGTACTGCACTGTCGCACAGTGCTTCGAACATGTGGCTCTAGAGGACAAAAATGCAAAACTTCTCTTTTATTGTAGGCAATTTATTCAAACTAGGTTTATTTGACACAAATGATGAGTGCTCTCGTTGTACTAAATGATGATGTTCTTAGTCCCACGTTTATGAAAAAAAATCTTATAAATAATAAAAATGTTGGAACTGTGTTCCATCTAAGCTATCTTTTTAGTAAAAAGCAACTTTCTAGAGCAAGTCGTTACTTCAGTAGAGACGACACAGATAAACATTAGCATTTTATATATTGTAGATTCCCAATTTGTTTCTTCTAGGTCAACGTCACATGCCATCGGAATAATGAACATCTACGAATGGGTTCAAGATTTTATAAAGAAGTTTCGGGAAATAAGGGTGGACGTGACGGAACTGGCGTGTCTTCGAGCTGTCATACTTCTGAATCCAGGTTGGTACATGATGTGAATTTTTTAAGTTTGGCAAAATCAATAAAAATTGGCGTGCACGTCATCAAAATATTTGACGGATGCACGTCGCAACGTTGCTACGGCTACTTTTTTTTACTTTGACTTTTGACAAGTGTCAAATAAAATTCGTAATTTTGTCACAATACAGGGTGGCGCCTCTCATACGCCTCGGAGGCTCTAAGGAGAACGACAGTTTGTATTGAGATGAAAATTTGTGAGCATATGTCTTTGGCAGCTTATGTAGGCCAAAATCAAGGATACTGTAGAGATAAGGATAGTTCGATTCCTATCTTCCTGCACTGTCAGTTTTTTTACGTCATCTACTGACCGAGTTGAACTTGGCGCTGAAGATTTTAGACAGTGTCAGTTATTTTTGCATTTGACGGACGAGCGCACAGTGCGTTGGAAGATAAATTTAGCGGGACAAAAGCGTTTGGTTAAAAATAAGCCAAAAAATGTGTACTGATAAGAATAAATAGTAGACATTCCAATTGATACAAAAATGCATGAATATTCTTTGTATTTCGATACATTTTTATCAACCAAATTTGGTCGTTTTCTGCTCAGCAAGGCAGAGATCATACGAAAACAAAATATTTACAAATGCTTATACATTTTATTAGAAAGCCAAATTATGTTGAAGATTGCCAAAGGTATGTACTTTTCTACTGTATGTATATTATTTGTTAAAATCCTTCGTGCCTTTGTTCTGCAGATATCAAACTTACACTTTTTTTTCAAATATCGATATATTGAATGATGTAGATCTTTTGAGTTACCAATAGTTACCAACACAGGTAGTCGCAGTCACAGGGAGTTCAAGCTTAACAGGTGAATGCCCAAAAAGATTCATTTCAATCGGATAGTATAAAAACAAAACAACTCCATCAAAAGGCACTGAGTTTAAAAAATTGTCTTAGATACTTAATATATGAATTTACAATTACCGAGTGTTAAAATTAAAATTAAAATATCTATCTTATTTATTATTTTCAAAATAAAATATATTTTTTTAAAATAAATTATAGAGGGTGTCACAAGATTACAAATTAATTTAAAAATAACTGCTAAAGAGTTTTTTGATATCATAATTTTATGTTCTGGAAACTAATCATTTTTCCCGGCGTATTAGCTTTCTTAGAATGACTATGACAATATACAACAAGCCTTTTTGAATTAGTGTTTAGAATAATTGAGATAATAATAAATTTTAACTAGATAACAACACAAACGAAAAAAAAAACAAAACAAACAGATGCCAATTAAAGAGGGGAAGTGACAGCGAGACCTGGAAGATGTCTGCCATCTTGCCGTCGACAAAAATTTGGATGCGCACTCGTCGAAGCTCATTCTCCCACTTCCATATCTCTGGTGACGTAGCACTCCACGGCGACTACGACAGGGGCGATTTGACGCGATCGAACAGTCCTTTAGAATATATACAGTCCTTGGGCCAAAATTACATTTCGATATAAACTACCGTTCTCCTTGAAGCTTCCGCGGCGCTTGAGAGGCGCTACCCTGTACATACACAAATATTTCTTTATATTTACATTATTACTTTGTCTATGGAGTATTACACAATCAAATTCTAAAGAAAATGAAGTTATTAGGAAATTTTCTGAATGAAAACTGAAAAAATGTAAAGTTCTAATGATTCGTTAACATTAGTCTTCACTTTTTGTAAGATTCTGCACACAGGCCGTAGACTGATGTTGAGCGCAGCTGAAACACATTGAAAGCTCTATGTAATTTCAATAAAAGAGCAAAACTTAAGCAACAATAGCAATTTTTCCCTCTCTAAGGCAGGTTAACGGCAAAAGGGGCTCGCCATGGATTCGGGAAGGGGGAGTGGCTATGCAAATTTTTGTTTATTCAAAGTACATACTATTAGATGGCTGAACTTAAGGGGAGGGTCTTGAGACCCCGAAGCCCCCCCTCTTGACGAATTTTTAGTCATTAGAAAATATAATTTGGTAATAGTTTCGACGTCTTTGATGACGTGATTCAAAATTGACCTTTTATAGATTAAAATAAGATAGTACTGAATAATGAAACTGTTTACTTAAAAAATTATAAGTAATTAATTTATACGATAAAATACCAAAAGCTTGACCTTCGTTCTTCTTGAGGTTTGATATCAAAAATTAGTTCTTGTAGTAATAAATAATTTTAAAAATATAAAATTATACCAAATAAAATAAAAACTACAGAATAAGAATTATGGTAGAACAATTCAAAAGTATTCTGTACATTATTATAAATATGTTGTTGAGTTTTATTTATAACTACAAAATCAAATGGTTTTAACTATTTACAATCTAAAAATATCAATTGTTTACTTTTGTAATTGTGGTAGGAACATTTGTTGTTTACTAAACAATTATAGGTTAAGCTCCGCCTACACATAACATTTTACCTGTCAGTCTTACCTTACCTGTTCAGTCAAAACGTATCTTGTGTGTAGACGGGACTAAGATGGACAACCGTCAGTTCTTTATCTTTGTCTTACTCACTAAAATACGGATTTAGAATGACTTATACGGGTAGTTTTAGTAGGGATTTAAATAAAGTTAATACACATAAGTCCAGATATTTAAAAAGCTTCAAAAAATAAACCAGTATAAATACGACATCAGAAAACTTACTGCCATTACTCGCTGACGAGTAGTCGACACGCATCAGAAGGTTACCCAAGGCGTTTTCTTTCATGAGCTTTTCTGTGACTGAAAAGCCCGATACGTGATGTTATATTCCTTCCGCACTCCGGACCGTCAAAAATCCCAGTAATTTGTTGCCTCTTTACTTTTTGGTTGTCGTTAACTCAGTTTACAATTCTTCTCCATTCCGTTCTATTGTGCGCCGTTTTCTCCCACGGATTCTGCATGCTTATCCTCTTTTTTTATGGAAAATATCCTTGTACCTTTTGAGATGTCCACCCGGTTTTCTCTGACCGCCTACAAGTTCACCGTAAAGAAGAGATTTCGGTACGCGGTTTTCTGGCATCGTGCGTACGTGACAACCTAACCATCTTAAGCGGGGTTTAGTAATCATGTCTTTAGCGCTCTCCCAGCTAGCTTTTTCAAGGACCGATACGGTAGAGACATGGTGGTACCATTTGATTCTTAAGAGTTGTCTAAGGTGTCTCTGTGGCGACTTGTTTAATGCGTTCGTGTGCTGGCGTTACGGCACCCAGGTTTCGCTTCCATATAAAGGTTGATTCTCAATATACCTTCCGTTTCCACTCCATATCCGTTCCCTATTTTTCATTGTATTCACGCTATACGTATGCTTCCGTTTCGTATCAGTTTCATACTTTTTATTGTACAATTTATATGTTTTATTTTAAAAATTTGCATCTTTTGAAAAAGGTAATAGATTTAATTAAGATGTGAAATAATAAATAAATATTAGCAAAATGTTCACAGAGTTGGTACAAATGTAAGAACTTGACAACGCTGTTTCCGATACGCTTCAGTCCTTCCGCCAAAAAAAAATGTATGAAAGGAAAGGATATGGAAAAGAAGGGAAACGGAACAGATAGTATACATTGTCCTATTCTTTTACTTGATATAATATTTTATGTAAACGGAAGGGAAACGGAAAGTAGCTGATACAGAAGGTACAGTGAAAACCAACCTTTATATGGTGGGGATTATTATTGTTCGGTACACTGTAAATTTCGTTTTCGTGCTCAAATCGTGATTGTAGAAAACCCTGCCGTCTTTTAATTTTCAAAATGCTCTTGAGATGCTGCTAATTCTTTGCTGAATTTCAGAGTCGATATCGGCCTTTTCCGAAATCAAACTGCAGAGCTAATTGAATTCAGCTACATATTCCAATATTGGACATCAGAAGAAATATCAGTAGAATAGCCCTTGTCATTCACTTAATACAAATAATTTTATCTATACAGATACTATTATCTATAAGATAATAGAATTTGTACAGATAATAGAATGATTTAGCACAAATACGTCTGATATAACTTTATTTGATCGTATATTAAATTTAAAATGATATAAATATAATTGGATTAGTCTTAATTAGTTCAGTAGTGTTGACAACGTAATTTAATTTGTTACAGAATTGCGAGGACTTGTCTGCAAAGATGACGTCAATATTCTCCGTGAAAAAGTATACGAAGTGATGGAAGAGTACGTTCGCAATACTTATCCTTCAGAACCCGGACGTTTTGCCAAGCTTTTGCTCAGGCTGCCTGTACTACGTTCCATTGGACTTAAATGCCAAGACTATTTATTTTTTTACAGGTACGTATTTATTTTAGTAATATCCCTATATTATAAAAATATATAGGTACTATACGATCAAAAAAAAGCGTTGTCAAAGACAGCTGGAATATGACAATCGAGGTCAAGCCCTAGATGTAATTTACTTGGCCCGCGTACTCTTCCTTATTTTTTAATGGCTCTTTGAAAATATATTTGTGTGCCTGGAAACGTTCTATCACTGTTTAAAGAATATAAATATATACAGTTGGCTCACTCTAAGGAATTCTATTGTTATTTTGACTTCAAAGGCGGCCTGTGACCCTTCGAGGTGACAAAAATTTGTACGTTTACCGGGTGCAGCGGAAGTGCTATTTTATCAGTCAGAACGCTGGCCGTATACGAGGGATCAACTAAAAATACTAAGGAATTTTAATATAGCAAGTAGAAAAATAAAAATACAGTACTAGTTTTATTGATTAACAGTTTTAGACGTCTTTAATAATTGATCAATATTTATTTACTTTCTTCTTCTTATTATTTAATAACATATCTCATTGTTTACAAATATAAATACGATATGAGTGTGATACTCGATAAATACGATTAAAAAGTTTATATTCTTTAAACTGTGGTTCTATCCTTTTTTACCCTTTCTATAATTAGTGTTAGTTTTTGACAAGGTTTATGTCAATTTTTAGTAAATGCCGTCTAGAGATTGACCTCGCCAAAATTATGATCGATTGTCATTCCCCAGCCGTTTTTTGTTTCAATCATACGGTACTTAAGTGGCTAATAAATAACTAGAAAAACATATCAACGACGTACTACCTTATTTAATTGTTTCACGCGCGGTACTGCTACGCAGTCTATCCTTGATCAAGAACTGTCGTCCACGTGCCAAATTTGAAAATTACTCTTTGTGCATATCAATAAACTAAGAGCGAACGCGACGGTGACCTAAAATGGCCGACTTAAATTCATAAACTGGAATTTAAATCGGCCATTTTAGGTCACCGTCGCGTCTCAGTGACGTTCTAATTTTATTCAAAACGTGTAAAAATATAACGTTGGGTAGGTTCAATAATTTGTTGTTTTATTTTACATTGTCAATAAATGTTTGGTTTAATGTTATTAAAAGCCTTTAAAATATATTGAAATTAACAGCTGTTGACAGTTTTGGAATTTTGCACACTCTATAGTCTGGTGTAAAAACTATTTTTAATGAACTATCATTTCCATTTAAGTTTCTCAGCCATGCTCTAATCTTTGAGAAATAGTAAATAATAGCAAAAATGCAATAAAAATTATATAATAAGTTAATTTCAAGCGAATTTCAAAAATGATCGGTTTACTACACGTATGTATTGATATACATACGTGTAGGAAACTATTACTAGCTTAGGAGGGCAGTATTATACAATCACTTACTAGTGAAAGTTATTCCATTATTTCTAAATATATTATAAGAATATATTGGTATATTGCTAGTACCGCATTTACACAATGAGTGGAATGTGAAGCCAAAGAAAAGAAATAGGAATAGCAATCTTGCATAAGTCTATCCTTTTCGTTCATGTAGATTTTCGGCGCACGCACCAAATAAAACGATTTGATTCGTCTACTTCATCGCTGAACGCTGCACCTGCCCGCGCACTATTTTAAACTCTAAATATTAATTACGTATAATATATTTTTTTATTGGTAAGAAACCTGTTATTTTAAATATTCATCATATCTATCCGTTTCTTGTTTTTGTTTAAATATATCAGAGATTTAAATTTACAAGTAAAGGCGCGAATACATCCTACGCTGTGATGCCAAATCTGATTTTTTCCCCAATTTAAAGTAAAAAATAATTATATTGAAAACTAATTATACAGGGTGGTCCGACCTGTATTTCGGAAACTTCGGCAGCATATTCTGCAGATAAAAATACGCAAAAAAGTTTGTATAAATATATGCCCTAAAATGCTTAGTTTCGGAGATACAGGGTGAATAAGTTTCATCTTTATTTCGATTTTTTTCAAATAATTTATGAAGTAACGTCAATATTTGGACGAATATTGGTGTTTGGAAGTTTTTTGACATGAGAAATTTTATTTTGATGTCAATATGACTCCTACTTATACTTGTAAAGGGCGCCACCTACATATTTTTTAACTGGTTTGAATAGTAATAACTTTTCGGCTGTATCTACCTATATAGATCTAATGAGTAAAGAATTATATATTTACGACAGTTTTTACGTAAAAAAAGTCTCTTGGTCAAAATCGCTACGAGTAATGGTTCTCGAGATATTTGGAATCAAAATTATCAATACCACTTGTCATCACTGCCATAAATTAAACATGTTGACTAAATAGTTATTAGACTTAGACTGATATCATAAATTTGAAATGTTTTTTTGCCAAAAGTTCTTTATTGTCATTTTTTCGCAAAAAAATTTATGATTAATTTAAAAAAATAAAAATTTCACAAATTTATTATTTCAGTCAAATAACTATCTACTCAATTCCCGAATATACGATTTTTTTAGAACGAAAATGGTCAATACATGTCACTATTCACAAAAAAGTATTTTTTGTCAATAGTGACATGTAGGTATTGACCATTTTTGTTCTAAATTTCTTGAGAACAGTTGCGCGTAGTGATTTTTACCAAGAGACATTTTTACGTAAAAAATCACGGAAATGTATATTTTTTCACTCAGTAGTTTTATACAGGTACGGACGAAAAGTTATTACTCTTCAAAACAGTTAAAACACATGTAGGTGGCGCCCCCTACAAATAAGAGTCATATTGACATCAAAATCAAATTCCTCAAATCAAAAAACTCCCAGACACTAATTTTCATCCAAATATTGACATTACTTCAGAACTATTTTAAAAACATCGAAATAAAAATAAAACTTCTCCACCTTGTACATTCAAAACTAAGAATTTTAGGACATACATTTATAAGAACATTTTTACTTATTTTTATCTGCAGAATATGCTGCCGAAGTTTCCGGGATACAATTGGGACCACCCTGTATATGCTATTTTTCTTTTATTATTATATGATTTTTTTTCCTATACCTTGCTCTGATTTGCACTGCACGCCACTGTTCTGCACTCCAAAAGCAAAGACCAAAAGTATCGAACCACGCGCCGCCGGCACTGGAATCGTACAGAAAAACATTATTTCTTAAGAAAGTAATTAATGTTTGAATTTGCGCGTATTTATATATTTTTTTTGCAGGCTACCCAACGAGACATCGCTTGACAAATTCCTGGCAGACATGCTCGAAAACGCCAGAAACTCCTAAGCAGCAACGTTAATTCTATTTTAAATTTAGGATTAGTAAGTTAAATAAATATTTCTATTACACTAAAAAAATTATTAAACTAATTCCTACGACACTGTATATTGAGACACTAAATAAGATAATAAGTATACTTATAAATGATAAAAATGAAATGGAATTGTGTGATAGAAGTATGATTAAAGTAAATATTAAATATTTCTTTTAGAAAAGAGATTTTAGGGAGGGAAAGACAGAAAACTTCTTTTCTTTTTAATTACTACAGTAATTGAACCTCGATAATGTTTACTGACAAATGACGTTTTTTGTTTTTAACTAAAAAAATTTCTAGATTAGTTAACATTCTAGTTGAATACGTTTTCTCAAAGACAAGTATCATAAATTTATTAAAAGAAAACGCATTGATACTAATTGCGTAAAAAATTATACCGGGTGTTCTGCATTGTCGTTGGAAACATAGAAAATCGCATACAAATTTTGAACTGTCCAAAGATTATTGGCTCTCCTGTTGGTGTGTTATCTGTGATTTTTTTCTATGCCTTTAGGCTTTTACATAATTCGAACAAGTTTTAAATTACAAAATGCATTTCGGGGATACTAACTTTAGGTATTAACGTAGTAGTGTAAACAGCACCATAAAATAATTAACTAGAAAGAAGTGTCAACTCTGTGTTAAATCGTGGAAACACGATACGCCACCGAAAGCCTTCGTTGTCGTCTGGAGAACTAATTTTCCAATTGACAGGTTGACATGATGGTTTCATTTTTATTTCCGTTTCCGGTTATTCAATGGCGGGCCCTCTTTCAGTTTAAATGTATTTTGTACTCTTTCTTATCATAAATAAAACAAAATAAAAATTTATTCAAACATATTTATTTGAAATATGAGACAACGTGACTAAATAAATATAAAAAATAAAGAATTGAATGATTTCTATATCTATTACTTAATTGTATGCAGTTTTAACGTAAATTAGTAAGGTATAAGCATGACTTACAGTAATTTGTAAATAAATACACCTATTCACAGCTTTCAGAAACAGAAAACGGGGGCAGGAACATGAAAACAGAAAAACCATTTTTTTATACTAAAATTAACAATGTAAAAATATCAATAGGTATAAAATATAAATATACTATTTAAAAAAGCGTCCATTATTCTCAAAGAGACCTGGTTTATAAATTCAAAAGAAGCAAAAAGAGACTTTTGATCGGATAACAATCATATTATATCAAACAGATTTATTGTATTATTGACAATAAATCGCACATACTGGAGATAACTAATGTTGGCTATAGTTAAAATTGATCTTACCTTGCTGTAAATTGTTTCAATTTTCAAAAAAATCGCCGATCATAAACATATAACAAAATTTTCTTGCATCTAAAAAATATAGAAATAGTGTTTATTTACTACCTATTTTTAATATACATGGGACCGAGCATGGGACATACCTAGTACTGCAGAAACGTCTTTTTCTCCAGGATTTTTCATGTAATATATATTTTATATGCTGTATTACCTTTATATTTATAAATTTCAGCCGAAATATCAAATTGAATTTACAAAACAAAACTAAATGGAGAGAATTAAAATGGCGTCGAAATTTGTTCGATTTGTTCTAGAACAAATCTGTCAATTCTATACTGTGAAGTTAAACAATAGTTAGACAGAAACATTGCTGTCCTTGTCTAGGCGGCCATACTTGTCGTCAGGAGATGACAGGAATGACACTAATGATTGTTTCCAATTTTCCTATTTCACTGTCACCCAACTGTCACCCCTCTGAACAGCACTACTTTGCAGCTTTATAAATAACATTTGTCAATGATAAAGTCATAGGTTGATAACTTAAGGTGTGTTGACATTTGCCTGGTTTTGCATTGTCACCAGTTTCAATTTAAAAATAGATGCACTTTTCCTTAAATTAGCTAAAACGGGTTCTTCGTAATTGTTCAAATTTGGAATGCATATTCAGCCATACCCAGATCTTTCAAAAACCTAGGGGATCCAATATTTGGGCAGTTCAAAATGTGCGTGAGATTTTCTATGTTTCCAACGACGATGCACCACTCAGTAGTATAAATGATACTTAATTATATTTTATTTTATTCAGAATGACAATCTTTCCCTCAAATACAAATCTGTGATTTACATTAATTAATCTTCTTTTTAACCCTTTCAATAAGGTATTATTAGTTAATATGTAAAAATTCATGTTTTTCCTTAATCTAAATTTGTAGTATATTTTATCTTCGCCAAAAGACAGATAGTTTTATTATTATTTTTTTAATTATTATAATTAATAATTCAATTTTACACATGTAAGGAACGTGTCTGTCTTTTAACATATATTTCTTTCAGTCTTCTTGCATTGAATATACTGTATAGTTTACTCTTTTTTATGTAATTATAACACGCTAAAATCAATGCAAGCAGACTGTACAGGGTGTCCCATTTTCGTGTGTTTTACAGGGTGTCTTGATTATGATTAGAGATACAAAAATCTGTTTACATCACTTTGCTACTTTTTTTGAAACACAGATTTGTGCTAGCCCTCTTAAGTTCTTGAAATACAGGGCGAAATTGAAATTGTTGCATTTTTCGACTGGCCTCGTATCCCGGTAAAGCTTCATTCAGAACCTCAAAATTAGTGGAATAAATCAATGGTTTTAATTAGCGTATAGAAATTTGTTCTTCTAATCTCATTGTAAGCAATCAAAACGTCAAAATTAGTGGTAGTATAACAAACCTTTAACTTTTCCACTAATTATACTTCAAAATTTGCGAGGACTGTCATTTTGGCCTTTGATTATTATCCGACAAGAGAAATTGTGGTTAGAAATCAAAATTTTATTGTTTGATAAGCTAAATATTAGGCTTTCTCTATGGATACAACTGACTTCCGCAAGCTGTTGCTAGGATATTCTATTAATTTTAATTGTGTTTTTTAGACATTGTGAATGATCGTAAAGTAAAAAGAATAAAGTGTAATTGAAACCATTAATTTATTCCACTAATTGCGAGGTTCTGAATGAAGTTTAACTTATCGAAAATGTGAAAACTGAGTTCCATAGAGTTCTTTTTTGGTAGAAATCAGTTACATACGTAACTAGTTTTTCGCTGGGAGTAGTTATTTTCTAAATATTACCTAAACTTATGTTTTTTTTAATGGGATACTCTGTCTATTATTCTATTTTATTTGCCTTTTATGAGCTTTTAAAAAAATATGTATACTCTCTACTTGAGGCGGTCAAGTTGCAAACCCCGTCTCAATCGAAAAATGTTTCGAGATAATATGAAAACACTGTTTTAGCAAATGTTTGAAGCGTTATTTTACCAAAAAGACGTGTCCATTGAGTGGAATCATTGTTTTGTATCTTGTTTTTCTAGAAATTCTCCTCTTCCTAGATCCCTTCTCTGTTGTGGTGGGCGATTAATATGGCATATAGAGCTTGGAGAATGTTTTCGTCGGTATGGGTCCAATCTCTTATGTTACGTAGCTATGATTTCTTTTTTCCCCCTATGCTACGTTTTCCATCGATTTTTCCTTCTATTATGAGCTGTATTTCTTCATATTCTGAGTGCCGCATTATATGTCCAAGGTAGAAAGTCTTTTTGATTTTAATTGTGCCTGTTAGGTGTGCACGAGTTTTTATTCTGTTTAAAACTTCACAGTTTGTTGTTCTGGAGGTCTAACTTATCCCCAGAAATAAAAATTAATATTAAATTTTTAAAGAGGAACAACACAAATATAATTCGGATAAGGCGTGTTTTGTTGCAGTTTGATGCATATTGCGGGTTTTGCTACAGCAAGATATTTGCGTCCTAACTTAACGCAAGTTTGAGCCATATTTTAAAAATTACAGCTCCCAGCGAAAAACAAATTACGCCACTGAATTCTACGTGAAAAACTAAGGGATTTATTTTTTTTCGTGAAGCTATAGATAACCGAGATACTAGGGGAGTCAAAATATGCAACAACTTTAAATTTGCCCTCTATTTCACGAACGAAGAGGGCTTATCCTAGCCACAAATCTGTGTGTATCATCTTTAGTTTCATAAAAAAGTAATAGAGTGATGTGAAAACCGCATCTTTGTATCTCTACTCATAAAGGAGACCCCATAAAACACACGATAATGGGACGTCCTGTACAGGGCGTTTAAAAAATCATACCCATCTTTGGTAATTGGGTATAGTGTTTTTACACGTCTCGGTATATTATTTTACTATTAGTACCTCCTCATTGAAACTTGTTAAAGCCTAAAGATTATTTTCTTTGGTGTAGAAAAATTTGGAAAATGGTATTATACGAACGACTTACTGTTAATGTTGATCGGTTGTGTTTAAATAATGATGTTTAATCAAAACTCTTTTAAAATAAATTTTAATCTATCGCATACTATAGATATATTTATTCTAATTTATAATTGAGTATACATACTTGTAAATGTTAAGTTTTAATCAAATAAATAGGCAGGTTTAACTCAAATCTTGATTTTATATAAATATGAATTTTACACTTGAAATTTTTCGAAATTTTCAAAAATTAAATTAAGGATGTTACAACTTTTAAAGAATTTAAGTTAATATTAACTTGAAAATTATTTCTTGTGTAGTTTATAAATTTAAATTTTATTATTATTATGTAAAAATATATTTTTAATAAATTCTATTTTAATATTTTTTGGTTTTAATACCTGCTTCACCAAACGCAAAAAGAATTGTTATCTCATCTTTAGTGGAAAATTGTTAATATATATATAAAGTGGTACTTTATTATTCAATAAGATTCTGTGAATAGATATAAATCAGTCAATATACAGGATGTACAATTATACAGATGTAACACAGATTAATGAAAAATCAAATGTATTAAAAAAAGAAAAAAAGTTGGGTTGATACATTTCTCTATGCCTGTAGTGCCATATAGCCTGATTTTGCATCAAAATTTCAAACCGCCAAAGTAGATGTTTATAAAAAATGCCTACACGTACACGTACGAACCGACAACACTGTAAGCTGCTTTTTGTTTTGTCTCTCTGTCTGTCAACTGATTATATATATTTATCTCTGTTGTATGTATTAAACTATAGACCATGGAAATAAAGTGACCAATATTGTGTATGGCAAGCTTTTGTATACAGAATGTCCCCGGATTGTCTTTAGAAGAGAAAATACTATTTTATTATTGACATTTTGAGAAAAATGCATTCTTTATAAAAAAAATGCTTGTTCTAAAATAGTTAATTCCGTTTATACTATTCCAAATTTCCATAGTTCGTTTTAGAGTAAATTAAAAAAAAACTTCTCAAAAAAAGTCTCAAAACGCACTCTCTACTGTCTGTGGTCATGTATCACGGGTAGAGGTTATTACGGAAAAGGGGGGTCTTAACTTGACCGCCCGTACCAAGAGGAGATAACCTCACCAAAAACCTAAATCCTATGATAGCGGCACCAGGTCAAAAGGATGCGGGGCTAGACAGTAGACTAGCCTCTACTGGTCTCAACTATGGGGTACTAGGGAGCAACCCTTTGTATTCTCGTCTCCCTTACTTCTACCTGCGTGGCTCTCTAGAAGTGGACCGACTAACCCTTGTCACAGGTCACAGATACATAATCTGTGCTCTTGCGATGTATCACCAGCTTTTCCAAAACTCCAAAGTGAGGACATGGAGTTGGCGACTCATCAGCTCGAGGTAGGAGGGCCATGGTCAGGTCCTCATAATAGGAATTGACCTCAAATCCAAGGAGACAATAGAGAAAGATATATATTATATCCTGTATTAAGATCCGGGACCACACCGGTATTAGGTCTAAGGAGAGACCAAGTTAAAGAGGTGGAGAAACCTAACCTGAAAGGTACCTCAGCCGGAGACAAGCTCTTCGATTGTGAAGGACATCGAGGGTTAAACCCCAACCGTGGAAGGTTGTATACGTATACATAGGACGTCCACTCCTCGGAGGAAGAACATCTGTTATCAGAGAAGGATGGGGAATACTGTCCCTCTACAAGAGGAAGATCCCCATGTATGACGAGTTATAACGCAAAAAAAGGGGGACACAATAGATCTTTAAGGTCGCGGTGATTAACCCCCCTTCCACTCATTCTACATTAGGAATTAGATAGAGGGAAATTAGTTCTAAACTTAAACTTTTAATGACTTCTTTTCGTTAATACTGTGTACATTAGAGGTGGGTAAAGGTTGAACGAGTCGGTCACTTGAACGAGTATTAGAAAATGAATCGTGAGATTCGATTCATTGCTTGCAATCCGGTTCGGTCAATTTAATCGTGGCCAGCACGGATCCATAACATTTGAACGATGAATCGTAAAAAAGAATCGAGAGAATTGCACGGATCCAAAAGATTTGAATGATGAGCCGTAAACAAGAATCGTGAAAATTGAATCGGATCACAATGCAATCGTGCGTTCAAAAAGTGGTGAGAATTGATTCATTGCTTAAAATACGGGTCGTTCAATTGAATCGTGGCCAGCACGGATCCAAAAGATTTGAACGATGAGCCGTAAAAAAGAATCGTGAGAATTGAATCGGATCACAATGCGATCGTTCGTTTCTACGGCGCAGGGCGGCGGTGATATAGGCATAGAGTCAGGCACCAATATTTAGACTTGAACAAAAGCCCTAAACAAACATCATGGACATAAAATGCAAACGATAAGAAAGTTATGTGCAAGAAAAAAACTTATTTATACTGTGCTTAGGACGGGAGTATCTGTAAGGTATTTAATTTTCACGTTAATATTTTTGTTAAAATAATATTACCGACTATTAAATGTCGGACTAAAAGACGAAATCGTGTTTTTATGCAACTCCAAATAAATATTGTTGGCCCCTGCTCAATGTGGTAAAAAAACGGCGTCAGCGATGGTTATAAATGAAGATCGCTGTCATTTTATATGTAAAATTATATGAGGAACATCATCGATGTTCATTTCCAAGCCAACTGGACACCATTTTTTTTCGACCATGCTGTATTATATACTATTTATAATGGTTATTAAATCAGAATTGAAATATGACTCTAAAAATATTAAATTGGTATTAAGAAATCTTTAATAAATGTATATATAAATTGAATTGATCATTTAATATTATTGGTAAAATAATCAATCCAATTACTCCAGTGTCATAAAGTGTAGAAAAACAAATAATGAAAGAACTGTATATTTATTTCTCTGGTTCCTTAAGTAATTGTCTTACCAAATTATTGCCGGTAGTGCCAGTTACGGTTCTTGTTTCTATGAAACGTAAATTGTGCATGTGGTTCGTTCAAATGAACGAATCATAGGAGTCGATTCAATATGAGAAATTGAATCGTGTGATTCCATTCATTAAAAAGAATCGTAATGCTCATCACTAGTGTACATATTAACTTGGTCTTTTGAATAATTCCAATATAATTGAAATTAATAATCAATTAGTGTGTAATTATCAAATAATTTGGAATATATTGTGTACATGAGAGCAAAACAATTATAGTCAAATTTGTATCGTGTGCAATTACAATATTACACCTCTTAAAATTGTTTAAAATCCGAATTAATTTAGATAAAATTTCTCTGGTATTTGTAACGGAAAATTTAAGCAATTAGTAAATACAACCGAGTTGCATTAATGTACGAATTTTATTACCTTATTGGTCAATTGATAAAATTGTGTTTAAAAGAATATGAAAACCACAATAAAGAATGAGAAAAATATGATAAAGAAAGGTAAGTAGTTTTAACACACAATAACTTAACATTAAAAACTTTATTTTTTAGTATCCAAAATCGGATTCCGACATAGTCAGGCATTGCTTTTCTTTTTTTGTCTCATAGTTATACACGTAACTAGAGGTACTATGTCACTAGCAATAGTAGCAATGACCGAAAAAAGCTCACCAAATCCCAATGTGCCAGTAAGACTTATTTTAAATAATATGTTTATTAGGGTGCACCAAAAAAATATTTTTTCTTTTAATTACCGTGAAAATATCGTTTATGATAATGAAAAAAAATCAGGTAAAGTTTGAGATCTTAATATTAATATCAAGAGGTCTCATCGTGATTTTCTGTTTCCTATTTAAATAACACGGTGAAATTTTCTTTTTATTTTTACTGCGTTCTAACAAATCAGCGTATTGAAATATATATATATATATATATATATATATATATATATATATATATATATATATATATATATATATATATATATATATATATATATATATATATATATATATATATATATATATATATATATATGAAATGAACAAAATTCTTACAGGTTTAGTGTATATTAATAAATAATATTTTCTTGCCTTTAGCTGTGTATTTTTTCTAATTTCGAAAAATCGAAAGTAGAGAAAAAAAAAAAGTAAAAAAGAAATAGTTTTGCTTGTCGTAAAGGGGAACCAAGCTCCACCTCACAACTGGCTAAAAGCTGGGCCTACCCTTATCAGGTGGGCTGTCCAGGGGCTGGTTCTCACCGATACGGCAAGCAAAACTTCTTTCTATCAACAGACGATGTCGTAAAGTGTCGGTGAGATATTAGTGTATCTCCCGTCAAAAGATGGTAAAGAGCGTTTTCGGCCCGCTCAAATATATGAAATGAACAAATTCTTACAGCTTTAGTGTATATTAATAAATAATATTTTTCTTGTTTTAGCTGTGTATTGTTTCTAATTTCGAAAAATCGAAAGTAGAGAAAAAAAAAAAAAGTAAAAAAGAAAATTGTTTTGCTTGTCGTAAATATCTCACCGACACTTTACGACATCGTCTGTTGATATAGAAGAAGTTTTGCTTGCCGTATCGGTGAGAACCAGCCCCTGGACAGCCCACCTGATGAAGGGTAGGCCCAGAAACCGGTTGTGGGAGTGGAGCTTGGTTCCCCTTTACGACAAGCAAAACAATTTTCTTTACTTTACTTTTTTTTCTCTACTTTCGATTTTTCGAAATTAGAAAAATACACAGCTAAAGGCAAGAAAATATTATTTATTAATATACACTAAAGCTGTAAGAATTTTGTTCATTTCATATATTTGAGCGGGCCGAAAAACGCTCTTTACCATCTTTGACGGGAGATGCACTAATATCTCACCGACACTTTACGACATCGTCTGTTGATATAGAAGAAGTTTTGCTTGCCGTATCGGTGAGAACCAGCCCCTGGACAGCCCACCTGATGAAGGGTAGGCCCAGAAACCGGTTGTGGCAGTGGAGCTTGGTTCCCCCCTTTACGACAAGCAAAAACAATTTCTTTTTACTTTTTATTTTTTTTTCTCTACTTTCGATTTTTCGAAATTCTAAAAAATACACAGCTAAAGGCAAGAAAATATTATTTATTTATATATATATATATATATATATATATATATATATATATATATATATATATATATATATATATATATATATATATATATATATATATATATTCTTGTAGGAAATTGAATGCTCTTCAAAAAAGGTCTGATATGATTTTTCATTTAATCGACTCGTTTGAAAGTTATTGAAGGTTAAAGGTCAACTTCAAATCGTATTTTTAACTTCGACAATTTTTTATATTTTATCACGAAATAATGGCTCAATAACATAAAATATACTATTTTTCGTATAAAGTTCACCAAGTGTTCTTTGCTAAAGCACTGAAGTGCAAGCGACATCTGTGCAAGAGAAGCAAAACCTCCCAAAAAAGTTAGAAAAGGAATCTAAAAATTTCAGATTATTCAAACGTCACTCCAATATTTTTCCAAATTGGAGTGAAATTGGGGTGACAATTTTTAACACGTAAGGAGCCATCTGGATTATGTGTTATCTGTGGTTTTAGTGTCATTTGGTTTCCTCCAGTAAAATACAAACGAACTCATGACTGCTCTATTGATGAAAAGCTGCCGTACGCAAGGGGCAATATAGCTTTTTAGATAATCATTTTTTTATTAACAAAATCTGCTACACCTTCAATTATTACTCTTAAACGAGTCGATTAAATGAAAAATCGTATATATTTGTACAACATATTTCTTTAAAAATATAAAGTAAATTTATGTTCCTTTTAGGTATATGATTGGAAAAATACAAATATTATTTTGTCTTCCTTCTTTTGGACCTACTTCATTCTTCAACTTTTTACTGGATATATATTCAAAAAGTTTGGATTCAAACAAGTTCTGTTGGTTGGAATCTTATGGAACAGTGCGGCGTTTGCCTCAATACCTTTTTGTGCCAAGCTATTAGGAGCAAATTTAGTTATTGCTATCAGGTACTTTACAAACTAATATCTATTAATCTCAATAAACTAATCATAAGTTATTATATTTAAATTTACTTAAAATGTCAATTAAAGCAATATCACACGCCAATGTTTGCCAAGCAATCGTAGGTCAGTTAAAAATCTTGCTAGGGTCATAGGTTCGTCAGTACTGTATACTGTACTAAACCAATATTTAGAAGGCTCAATAAATGGCACCAACTTAAAAAAAAATATAAAAACAATTCTATCCGGACACGCAAAAAAATACGAGAGTTAAAAAAGTAAATAAATCAGACTATTCCAATTTATTGTTTTCTAAGTTTTTCTTTATACAGGGTGCCTAACCAAACCAATATTCCGTGGACCTAGAACTACTACGTATTTTTCGAATCAAAATAAGTATATTGTACAGGGTGGCGCCTCTCATACGCCGCGGAGGCTCCAAGCAGAAGGACAGTTTGTACTGAAATGAAATTTTGTGAGCATGTGTAGGTTAATTCAGAGCACTTTTTAAAAATATAAAGAGTTCTACAGGGTGTCCCCAAAAAAAAGTTACATATCAAAGTTGTGTTTTTTGTAATGGAACACCTTATATATTAATTGATTTTCGGATTCTGGGAGAAAAATAAAGGTGAGTTTTATAAGAGAAGTATATGACTAAAATGTAAGGTTTTTGACATTTTCTAGAAATAACAATTTTTAAATTACAATAAAAGCTACCTAAATTGGAATTTACCCGGTATAGCCTAATACTTAGTTAAATTAACTATTGTACTTTAAATCAAATTAAAACTTGATCCAAAAAGTTATACAGGATGAGACAAAATTAATATTGAACATTGATCACCTTTAAAAGCATGTTATTCTTTTATTTTAAATGGAACGCCCAGTATATTATTCCGATATTCAATGGAGAATTCATGTCTCTTCAAAATACTATTAAGGTTGCCTACCCCTCACACAAAGATTTTTCTAGATATTTTCATTTACATGATTTGATCTCAGTAGATCTTTATTACTTGATAAAATCCAGGTGGCTGTGCTAGGCCTTACGTTACTTCAACATAGCTGTCTAATTAGTTCAACTTTAACAAGTAATTATCATTTTGTGTCAGTTAAAACAAAAAAAAATTTCAGAAATTTGCCGAAAATGCAAACTTTTCCTACATCAGAGAGAATTGATATGATTCTATTACTAATTGGTGAATGCACACTGCATTCACCAATTAATAGAATACTTAAATGCTCCTGATTTTATCTAGTCTCGGTTTTTTTATGGGGATATGTTAAAGACAGTGTTTACAAAACTCGACCAACTAGTGTCGACAACATGAGAGACATTATTGTAGCGGCTTTACGAGGTAAAACTCCACATATGCCTTTTAAAATGAAAAGATCCTTTTGAAAAGACAATTATTTTATGCAGTTAACAGGAAAGGAAGTCTAGTTTTAATTCTGTAATAATTAAAACATGTATCTTTTTATTACCGTTGAGTATTTTACTCTACAATCTTCAATTTTTGTTAAATTAACAAAAGGTATATCACACAGCCACCCTCGATTTTTTCAAATAATAAAGATCTACTGACGCAAACTCATAAAAATTAAAATATCTAGGAAAATCTTTGTCTGAGGGGTAGGCAACCTTAATAATATTTTGAAGATATAAAAATTCCCCATTGAACACCGGAATAATATACTGGGTATTCCATTGAAAATAAATGAGTAACTTGCTTTTAAAAGGGACTAATGTTCCATATTAATTTTGTCTAACCCTGTATAACTTTTCGGGTCAAATTTCAATTTGATTTAACATACAATGGTTACTGTAATTAAATATCAGGCTATACAAGGTCAACTAAAATTTAGGTAGCTGTTATCGAAATTTAAAATTTACTCTTCATTTTCACAAAATGTGAAATATGTCAAAATCCTTAGATTTTGGGTATATGCTTCTTTAATAAAACTCAACTTTATTTTTTTCCTAGAATCCGAAAATCAATTAATATATAGGGTGTTCCATTAGAAAAAAACACAACTTTGAAGTGTAACTTTTTTTGGGAACACCCTGTATAATTCTACATATTTTTATAAAATGCTTTCAGTTAACCTACATATGCTGCCAAAATTTCATTTCGATATAGATTTCGAGCTTCCGCGGCGTATGAGAGGTCCAACCCTGTACAGAGTGGGTCAAATTCGACGCTTTTAAATGGAAACACCCTTTTCTAGAGGAGATAGACAAAAACTAATATCGGTGTCTGAAGCTCAATTTTTGTCAAAAACATGATGGTGAAAACCGCATATCGATATCTGTTACCGTTTTGGAGTAACGGGTTGTTTTTCAAAACTATACATTTTTAACAAATCGCTGTAACTTTTTTGCTATGGAAAATTTTGTATTTTTATGAAAACATTTCCAAAGCACCTTTTTACGTAGAATTTGATGGTTTATTATCAACAGAAAAGAGTTAATTATCAACAGAAAATTTGATTTTTTATATGGGACACCCTGTATATTTTTAATTTATTGAAAAGAGTTTAAAATTACCTCTCCAAAAATATAACACACTTGATATTTTGCTCTTCGAAATATAGAGTATAAAAAAATTCGATTCCTCTTCGAAATATAGAGTATATAAAAATTCGCCCACTTTAAATAAGTAGGCTTTGAACGGAACCGGCTCTAATGCAAAAAAGTTCTAGCTGTGAGTGTGAGTATATTTTTAATTTATTGAAAAGAGTTTAAAATTACCTCTCCAAAAATATAACACACTTGATATTTTGCTCTTCGAAATATAGAGTATAAAAAAAATCGATTCCTCTTCGAAATATAGAGTATATAAAAATTCGCCCACTTTAAATAAGTAGGCTTTGAACGGAACCGGCTCTAATGCAAAAAAGTTCTAGCTGTGAGCATCAATTAAAACGAAAATAATATTTGTTATGGGAGATGCAGAATTTTATAACAATTTAAAATATATTTAACCAACATCAACACATTTAAACTACCGTATGATCGAATAAAAACAGCGTCCAGTTGGCTTCGAAATGAACATCGATGACATTTCCCATATAAATTTACATATAAAATGACAGCGATCGCCATCGCTGACGCCGTTTTTATTCGATCCTACGGTATATCCAATAACAATAAAAATAAATAGCAAACCAAGACATGAGATTTTGTTACAGGTGTTCGACATATCGACCGTCTTCTGTTATGGACAGACGTGGCAGATTTTGAACATTTCTCGCGGAATTCATTAACTCAGTGGGGGTGAAAGATACTCTCTCATAACTGTTAAGTATTTCTAATTCTTGTCTAGATTATACGGAAGAATAAGGAACCTTTATTCTTCCGCAAATATATGCATAGGATTCGATCTATGGGCACTAAGTCAGACGGCCTCGACGGCGAACGGCTGGCATCTTGGTTAGCTATTCAATTATTCTTGAAATTGGCTGCAAAAATTTGCTAATAATTTCAGCGTTCAGAGCGGTGCGTCGTCTTCCATTAAGTTCCATTAAGGGCATATCATCAATAAGGGGTCCAAAGCCTACTAGTTAAAAGAGGCGAACTTTTAAAAATTCTGTATTTTGAAGGGGATTATAACAAAATATCAAGTGTGCTATATTTTTGGAAAGGTAATTTTAAATTCTTTTCAGTTAATTAAAAATATAGAGGGTGTCCCAAATAAAAAATCAAATTTTCTGTTGAAAACTCTTAAATTATTAATTTAAAAAAAATATATACTTAAACCATTAAATTCTACGTAAAAAGGTGCTTTAGAAATGTTTTCATAGAAATACAAAATTTTTCGTAGCAAAAAAGTTACAGCGATTTGTTAAAAATACACATTTTTGAAAAAACACCCCTTAACTCCGAAACGGTAACAGATATTGATGTGCGGTTTTCACTATCATGATTTTGATGAAAATTGAGCTCCAGACACCGATATTAGTTTTCATCTATCTCCTATAGAAAAGGGTGTTTCCATTTAAAAGCGTCGAATTTGACCCACCCTGTACATATTTTACTTCTGTTCAAAAGTACTTCGTTTGTCGATTAGAGGCCATCACACTTTAAAAAAAAACACATTTTTACAGTCTTGTACTTTGTCTTTGTCTTTTTTTACTTTGTCTTGTCCTGGCCGGTTAAAAGATACTCAAATCGTATTTTTAATCATATCTCAATTTTTACAAATGGAACGAGGATGGCTCATTAGCATATTCGGAAAAAGTATTTTTTACGAATAATTTGATACCACACACTTAGTATTTCGAGTCAAATTTTCGTTATGAACCGCATGCTATAATTTCAAATAAACCATAGGCGAAAATGTCAAAAGTTGAAATTGAAAGTTCGAAAAAGTTCGATTCAGAGTGTTATTTTCTATCGAAAATAGTAAAAAATCCGAGGGTGCCATTTAAAAATAAGTTGTAGTCATTTCCGGTGAAACAGTGATCGAAAACAATTGAATATTGTCAATCAATCCTAATTTATATCATATACTATTGTACCAAATCTCGTTTTTTAACTGAAAAAATAAAAAAGTTATAGGGATGAGCCACTTTTGAGACGCACCCGGTATAACGTTCGGATTTATTTTGATTGATTCCCTCTATCGGACAAACATAGCACTTTTGTATAAAGGTAAATTATGTGCATATTTTGTAGGTCGCTGCTCTAAAAAAATCTGAAAATCTATGCGATGTGGCATTTTTTACAAGAGACAAAAAATTTAGTAAATACTAGAGGGACTATTTTACGAAAAGAAAACCTGTCGTTGGTGGAGTTGGACAACATTTATACTAAAATTTATGTAGGAATGTAGTTTTCACTCTTCCCGTATTCTTTCTTGATTTTTGTGAAAGTAAAATGTTAAAACACTTGGCAAAACATAGATACCCAATACCGATTCAAATCGGAATAACGGTTCTTAAAATATCTGAAAAAATGTGTTTATTTTTTTAAAGTTTGATGGCCTCTAGTGGAAAAACGAAGCACTTTTGTAGGTAAATTATGTCCAATTAATTTAATTTGATACCAAAAATACGTAGTAGTTCTATGTCCAAGGAATATTGGGACACTCTATATTTAGTTAACAAGAATAATAGGGATGAACTATTTCAAACCCCTCCATTTTTAAAGAAATTTATAAAAATATGCAGATTGGGTGTTTTCATTATTATGAAAACACTATCTGCATATCTTTTTCATACGGTATTCCGTATGATAAAAAAAAACGTCCAGTTGGCTGCGAAATGACAATAAAATTATATTTATATAAATTTACATATAAAATGACTGCGATCTTCATTTCATAGCCATCACCGGCGCCGTTCTTTTCGATCATACGGTAGTAATACTCTCATAATATGTCAGTATTCTATCGCTTTTCGTTTTTAAGATAAAAAATGAAAACATTATTTTCCGCAATTTTTGTACCGCGATATCTCCCTAATGGCCAATCTTTAATCCAACGTTTATACGGTTTCTATAACAAAACATCTTTTATTTTTACCGAGGAACCACCTCTTAAAGTTTTCTGCATTTGCTTTGGAATGTCCTCTGTATAAGGTTTATGACTCTCGTGCTCTAGTAACTAACTTTATTATACAACTTCTCTATAGACTGTCCAACAAGACGATACATGACAGTGACAGTTGAGTCTGTCATTTAATTAAATTTATTTTTTTTGTGTCATTTTTTGCATGTCGAGATCTTCCTTAACTACATTAAAATCTTAATAAAATCATCAATTGAGGACCTGAGTTGATAAAGGTGTCATGTCGCATTTTTTAAAAATCAGTTTTATCTTTGGTTTTATTCAGTATTTCAACATCCCTTTGACAGATCCATCCTCTAAAGCCCCGTTCGCAGAACGACGCGACGTCGTGTCACTGGCGACACAGTTTGACATTTCAAACAACCAATGGGAGCTGTACTAAATTTAAAATTGACAGCTGTTTGAATTTTGTACAAATCTCATGGTCGCGTTCATCAGGACGTAGCGCTACTGCAGCGATCACTAATTTTCTGCTGAACGCGCCGATTAGTTGTGAGCGCTCTGGGATCAGTCGCCATTTTTTCCATCAGATTTAAAATACGCTACGCTACCGATGCATGATGGATTAAACGTCACACACGCCAAATGTCACAAAATGTTTTGGAAAACGAAAACAAACCATTTTGTTTATTGTTCTCGGTTGACTAATCCCCTCGATTTGTGCAAAAAATGGGTGAAAACAATTTAATATGCATTACTTATGATTTTGATCTAACAAGCGCGTTCAGCAGGACAACCAATCGATGGCATATCGCTCACTGATCAACTTGTCCTGATGAACGCAACCATTGGTTCTTTTGACGTGGAGCTGGCGACAGTCGCTATTCTGAGAACGGGGCTTAATAGACTCTAAATATCAAATATAAATACCATAAAAATATCCTAGGTGATAAAGGTGTCATCTCACAGACACCACCAATAATTTTTAGACTTGTTTTGTCGATTTAAGCTTGATTTTCATGCATCCGTTGTCCGACGATACGATGATACGATATTAATTTTATTGGTTGAATTTAAAGACTTTGGTAACATTTTCTACCCGATTGGTTAACAGTTTCTAACCGATTGGTCTTTAAATAAAAGACTCCAATCCATCCGATTGGAGTCTTTAATTTAAATTCAACCAATAAAATTAATATCGTATCGCCGGACAACGGATGCATGAAAATCAAGCTTTACTCGAAACTTTAAAAAGGATACATGACACCTTCTGAAAGACATCAGAATTGATGTCTTTCATCACAATTGAAGACATCATGTTTTCAATTGTGATGAAACAAAACCGAATGTTGCGCTTTTTTTTATTTTTTCTTCACTTAATTTAGCGTAAAGAATAATTTAATAATCCAAAAGCATTTTCTTCCAGGATGCTTCAGGGTTTTTTTCAAGCATTCACTTACCCAGCTTGTCAAACAGTGTTGGGAGTATGGGCGCCTGTAGAAGAAAGATCAAAACTGAGTTTCCTAGTTTATTCTGGTATTTGAAAAAATTTTTATCTACACGTTTCTACACAGCCTATTCATTAGACAGCCAATCGACTTTGCTAGCTTTTGAGTATCCGCGCTTCATCTGCTGCGCCTGTTTTCATACAAAATCAGGCAGTTAGAGCACCAGTCACGATAGCTCAGAATCCGACTTGTTATAAAATATATAAGCGAATTATCTAGGTATAGGTACAAACAGTTCCATGTAGGGGCATTAACTACGTCAGGGAGTTAAGGAATCAAGGGGAATGTCAATGTCTAAGAGATGGTGCACCATTCAATTCCCCGAAAGATGTCGCCACGCTTCCTGAAAATATAAACATGTTTAGTGGTTATTGACTCATCCCACAGATGTCGTCATACACCTTGACAGTATCATGTACCGTCCATATAAGGCGCGCAAGATACCGTGTGTTTTGTAACGTTAAAGTCCCATTAACGAGCGGACGCCGGTTGCGCAGACGACGCGCAGCGACGCTCATAAACCGCGTCGTGTGTTTTGGCTCTAAAATGATCGTACGTCATGATCACTGGCTGTCTAATAAATAGGCTGTGTCTATACTGTAACTAAAAACCAATAAATTTAGGTTCTAGTGTTGGTGCGATGATTTCAATGACAGTCACTGGGTGGATATCATCCAGCTGGTACGGTTGGCCATTGGTGTTCTACATTTTCGGCGCATTTGGAGTAATTTGGTGTGTATTTTGGTTTTTCTTAGGATTTGAAAGCCCCGCTCAACATCCCTGGATTAGCGATTTGGAGAAGAATTATATTGAAAACTCGTTAGAACATACTGAGGAAAATAAAGTAAAGAAATATTTAAATCATAATAACGGCACTAAAATAATAATTAAAAGTTGTATATTTATTTATTTCATTTTCTAAACTTTGGGCGTATTACGTTGGTCTTGTTTTATTGTAATAAATGATAATAATGATACTATATTTTGTATTATATGTAGTATGGCATCAATAGATTCGAACAAAATCCCTAAACAAAGATCATGGATATAAAATGCAAGAAATGTGAAAGTTATTTATAAAAAAATATCTATTTATACTGTGATACGCAAACCGCGTTTGTAGTTTGTTCAAATGAACAAATCGTAAGAGTCAATTCATTACGAGAAATTGAATCGCTTGATTCGATTCATTAAAAAGAATCGTAATGCCCATCACTAGTCCTGAAGTTAGTCCTATACCGGGTGCGTCTCAAAAGTGGCTCACCTCTATAACTTTTTTATTTTCTCAGGTAAAAAATCGAAATTGGGTATATTAATATATGATATAAATTAGGATTGATTGACGTATTCAATTATTTCCTGTCACTTCCTGTTTTACCGGAAATGACTACAACTTTTGATTTTTAAATGGCATCCTCGGTATATTTCTACTGTATTCGATAGAAAATGACACTCTGAATACAATGACATATCATATGTCAATTTTTGACATTTTCGCATTATTATGGTTTATTTGAAATTGTAACATGCAGTTCATAACGACAACTTGATTCGAAATACCAAGTGTGTGGTATCAAATTATTCGTAAAAAATGCTTTTTCCAAATATGCTAATGAGCCACCCTCGTTCCGTTTCAAAAAATTGAGATATGATTAAAAATACGACTTGGGCATCTTTTAACCGACCTGGAGAAGACACGAATAATATTAGACGATCAAATCTATTTTTCCTAGGCTCCTTGATTAAAAATTAGTGTTTTTAACATGGCCATGGCATGAAATTGAAATTTAAAATTCAATATTGTTTTAAGCAAAAATGTCGAAAGTTGATATATGATATGTTATTCTATTTAGAATGTTATTTTCTATCGAATAAAGTAAAAAAATACCGAGGGTGCCATTTAAAAATCAAAAGTTGTAGTCATTTCCAGTGAAACAGGAAGTGACAGAAAACAATTGAATACGTCAATTAATCCTAATTTATGTCATATACTAACATACCAAATCTCGTTTTTTTATCTGATAAAATAAAAAAGATATAGGGGTGAGCCACTTTTGAGACGCACCCGGTAGATCTAGACAATTAGTCTATTTATAATTTTAATTTGGAATATTTAGCAGGAAACTCAAAAAATTCCATTGAAAGCCATATTAACATCCGTTCCATTTTGGGCACTTCAAATCGGAAATATGGGAAACTCATGGGCAAATAATATTATTGATTCGGATATACCAACATTTTTTAGTAAAATTTACGGATTGGACATAAATTCAGTAAGTACAAAATAAAAATTATCTGTAGTATACAAGACCAGTTACACCCAAATGTTTAATGATTTTTTTTCTAATAATATAGAATGGTTTAATTTCTGCAACACCCCAAATAACACAATTAGTGGTAATGATACTAACAGCTCCACTACCTGACTACATAGTCAGTAAAGGTTTTGTCTCTTTAACGAACTGCAGAAGGATTTTTCAGTTTCTTGGTAGGTGTTACCCTCGAATTAAGTTTCATATCTATAGAAAAAAGACCACTACACACAGATATATTCCTAATGAATCTTATCACAGTGTCGAACATAAGATAGTTTTAATTTATTAGTTCATAGACTACTTAGTTTTTCTCTTACCAACGAAGAACATGAAATAGAAAGGAATTACATTAAATGGAAGGAATATAGCTGAGTGTAATGGTTATTCTGCTTACAAGTTTACCTTGAATGTGGTAGACAATGCTTGAATATTGAAACTAACAGAATTTCGGACTTCCATTGTCTTTATTTATTTCGCTTACATAACGTTTCGGTTAGAAGTATCACTGACCGGTATCAAGTGTGAACCAATCCAAATCCTAAATCTTAAAACTACTGAGCTTACTGAGCTACTGGGTTCACACGGTTCACACTATAGACAAATAGAAAAATTAAAAGACTGACAGAAGACATACGACGCGCAGGGGAAATGTTCCTGTCGGCATCGACGCAAGTGACGAAATACGTCCATCTAACTATCTGTGTTTCGATATGTATATGGTGTTTCGACACTAGTCCGTTAGTCTTAGCATATTCAGAAAGACCACCCTAACCCTACCTCATTCTTATGTTCAAAAAATAGGCACACGGCGTGGTCCAAGGCTGGATCATTTTTTTAGAAACTTTTTGATTGTTAATTTTATTTTTGTGCAAACTAAACAGTTGTTTTTTTATTAAAAAATAACAGACAAATGTAATGTCCATGCAGAATTATATTATAGAGAAGGTTAAGATTTACATTTTCAAATTATTATAGAATATACAAGGTGCTTAAAAAAGAAATGGGGCGGATATAACAAATTTTGATAATTATTCCTTTTTGTCATGGCAAAATGATGTTATAGCACTATGATGTATTAAAAATATGGGTAAAAATAGGAAAAATTGGAATAAATCACAAATTAGTAAAAATATGTAGGTATATGACATACTTAATAAAAGTTGAAGATTTTGTAAAATCTATATCAGAAAAAAGGGTAATGTGTTAGGTGTACCATTTGAAAAAATTGAGATATTTTAATTTTAAGTAGTTGAAATTTATAAATATATTTTGAACACCCTGTAACATCTAACTAAAATATCGTTACATAGGTATATCTTTTTTCTTCGTCTCTATAAAACTCTCCTACCCAATTTTAGTAGTCTAACTTCAGAAAAAATTGTATCATAGACAATTTTTAACCACACCGAAATATCTTTTATATTTGATAATTTGTTTAAACAAGCTGAAATGCATATTACAAAAACTATTAATTTTAGGTATATAACATTCTACATAAAAAATTATAAAATACTAAAACTAAAAATAGGGCGTTGCATTAAAAAAAAAATATGTTATATCCGCCACACTTTTTTCGAGCACCCTTGTACACTCTATATTAATAATTTTAAAATGTGTATATTTTTTTTCCTACCTTTCCTATAACCTCTATATTCCTATAACCTCTATATTAAACATTTTTTTTGTAAACCTCGAACTTTATTCTATCTCTATCGTTGACTCACCCTATACCGGGTGCGTCTCAAAAGTGGTTCATCAATATAACTTTTTATTTTTTCCGATAAAAAATCGAGATTTGGTATATTAGTTTATGACATAAATTAGGATTGATTGACGTATTCAATTGTTTTTGGTCACTTCCCTGTTTGACCGGAAATGACTACAACTTTTGATTTTTAAATGGCACCCTCGGTATTTTGTTACTTTATTCGTTAGAAAATAACACTCACATAACACTCTGAATAGAATGACATATCATATGTCAACTTTTGACATTTTCGCATATGGTTTATTTGTGTGGTATCAAATTATTCGTAAAAAATGCTTTTTCCCAATATGCTAATGAGCCACCCTTGTTCCATTTGAAAAAATTGAGATATGTTTAAAAGTACGATTTGAGCATTTTCTAACTGGCCAGTGTGCTAAGACACTAAAAACATTAGACAATTCAATCTATTTTTCCAAGGCTCCTTGATTAAGAATTAGTGTTTTTAACATAGTCACGGCACTCGAGACTGAAATTTAAAATACGATTTTTTATTAAGCGAGAATGTCAAAAGTTGACATATGATATGTCATTCTATTCAGAATGTAATTTTCTATCAAATAAAGTAAAAAAATACTGCGGGTGCCATTTAAAAATCAAAAGTTGTAGTCATTTCCGCTGAAAGAGGAAGAGACCAAAAGCAATTGAATACGTCAATCATTCCTAATTTATGTCATGTACTAACGTACCAAGTCTCGTTATTTTATCTGAAAAAATAAAAAAGTTATAGGGGTGAGCCACTTTTGAGATGCACCCGGTATATGAGAACATTAAACTAATAGTTAAAAGAGATAGTAGTCCAATACCTCCCAGTTCTCTGTTCATATTGCTCCACTCTTGATAATTAACTGTTTGTTTATGCCTCGCTTCGCTGATTTTGTCCTTCTTGGTCCGTACTAACTGAGTGTCTATCTAAACGCTCAGTTTGTAGATAATGGTTTAGTTGCTGTTTTTGTTGTTTTGTTTTGGTTAGGTTAGGTTAGGTTAACGAAACGCGCGTCCAATGTTAAAAGTAAAGCGTTTTGGTGTATTGTGGTGAACTATTGTTTTAATGATTTGCTATACAAATACTAATAATTTTCTCTAATATAGGTGCTATCTTGCCATCTGTTGTCTTAATCGGTTTGGCGTATACATCCAAGTCTGAAGTTGTATTAGGAGTGATTCTTCTCAACGTTATAATAGGGTTGAACTCGCTGTTACTGTACGCCTCTCAAATAAATCACGTAGACTTAGCACCGAAATATGCTGGGACATTGGTAGGAATTGAAAATTCGTGTTCAATGGGAGTGGCAATGACGGGGCCAATTTTTGTGCAATATTTTGTAACAGAGTTGGTAAGCCTTTTGAATTCAAAATTCAAACTTAGAGCTCTTTCACACGAAGCCACTTGTGACCGACACCAGTGTTCGCCATCGGTGGTTTGTCAATCGCGCTTATTGACCACTGTCATTGCTGTCATTGGTGGCTGACATAAATCAGAACACCAAATTAATTTGAGAAAATCCAGTAGATATAGTTTAAGAATGGGTGTGAAGTTACAAGTAATATTATTGACTGTATTAAGTTAATAGTACAACAGCGACGAAGAAGGAGACTAAAGAAAAAATTATGTATACGCTCATTATTATGAATAATAGGGACCGAATGGGATTTTTGAGGGTTTAAATAGGAGATCATTATCTACACATTCCCGTTGAGAATGGTTGGTTAATAATTTTTTCCACTTTTACATTATAATACTCGGCTACGTTTACTGGCCTATATACTTACTTAGTTAATTTAAGGTACTTAAACAAATTTTAACAACAATTTGTTGTTAAATTCAACATGTAAGAAACGTCTAAGAATAAATTATCAGAAAACCACCGGTTAATCAAAGAATGGATTGAAAAGTGTACAATAGCTATGAAATTCTATCAATGACACGACAGCACAACACAATTTATGTGAATACCCTCATTTTATAATGTGATTCCCCGTCCTCCGCATAGTAAATACCAGGAACACTCCTCAATATTTACCAGAAATATATCTATAATATTCCAAAATGGGTAGATACTCGAGGGTATATACCAGGTGGATACCCAAATGTTGCTGAGTGAAACCCACCGCCCATCACTACCTAATGCCACAACCGCACATGCGGCATTTAGCGATCTCCGAACGGTGCTTCGCCGATTTCCTATGTGTGTGGATGGGGAAGTCGGAGTTCGGCGACTCGATCGGCGACGAGAACGAGCGCTCGTCTCTATGTTGTTGCTATCAGAGCCCGCATGTGTGGATGGAAAGGCGAAGTCCGATCACGAGCGCTAGGTAGTTGACGAGCGCTCGGAGTTCGCTAAATGCCGCATGTGCGGTTCCGGCATAAGTCGGACACAAGTGGCTTTGTGTGAAAGGGTTTTTAATAGTACGTTTGAGAAAAACGATCGATAATATTCCCCATATAAGATGACAACGATCTTCCTTTCCCGGCCAAGTATGACACCGTTTTATTTTTCGATCGTATATGGTATATATCCTAGTATTATAATTATTCAATTGCATTTTTTTTGTAGACAGACATCAATCTTTGGCGATATGTGTTCATCGTGATGTCAATAACGATGACACTAACAACTCTAGTGTTTATTATTTTTGGTTCTGCTAAGGTTCAATGGTGGAATTTTACAAGAAGAAAAGAAAATCGTAACGATCCTTTGTGATAATAAAAGTAACGTTTTAAAATTCTATTAGTTTTATTTGCCATTTGCCTTTAAATCTAATTGGCGTTTTATATTGGGTATAAAAATTGTAGATCTATTACATGAATGTACTAAAAATAGTGGATATGCACTATATTTTCTTGTTCAGGCTTTGCTCACCCTCCTAACCCTCGCACTAGTATAATATATATTTCTTAAATATGGAGTGTAATAAGTACCTATAATAGTAATACATCTATCCTTATATTAAAAATATATCAATTAAAATTGCAATTTACTATTTTTTTGTACTTTTGAAAAACTTATAAAAAAATTTAAAAAAATAATTATTTTAATCTAGTGATGACAAGCTTTAAGATTTTTTAGACAATATAGTCATTCAACTAATAAATGTTATGTTAGATGATTAGCCAATTACTCAGTTAACTGTGAACTACAGATAAAAATTGATTTAAAACAATAAACTGATAACAGCTGATAAATAAAATACAAGTTTTGACAATCAGCTGATCTCTGTTGTCCGGGTATGTTTGGTTGCATAAAAATAATATTTTATTTTGATTTTATTTGAATTTGAATTATTTTTTAATTTAGTGCTTTATTTTTAAAAATTCTATCAATTAAATAAAGATCTGTAGAGTCATTATAGATATGGTTTAAAATATGCAAAACGTTTTAAGTTCATTCATCAATCAACGGCATATCGTTCAGTAATTGTTACATTTACAGGTTTTTCTAATATGTTATAATTAAATAAAATGGTTTTGTGAATTATCTGCTGACCTTCACTATTCAATGTGACTTTCCAGTATCGATAAAAATCACTTTAGAGGGGAACAGCAAGTACCGCTGGTAGTACCAAAATTCACGTTTCGAGTTTAGTTTTTAATTTTCGCTCCGCTGTGAGCACGCGTTTTAAAAAACATCTTTTTTCTAACCTAAAAACAGTTAATCAACAGGTAGCTATGTCGTGCAGTTTACCTTCAAAGTAAGTAAAAATATTTACATTATTGTATTTCTCTTCAAAACTGTATTTTTGTTATTTTAAGTATTATGAAACTTTAATTAGCATGTAACATTAAAAATGCTTCATCATCTTCCTATGACGCGGGTAGATTAATTAAAATATCTTGATTATTGTGTCTATGATTATAAACCTCTCTGAAATGAAATTCCTTGTAAAAATACCTCTTAAAAAAACATATCAATATAAAAAAAGATATTTTTGAATGTATTTTTTTTAATAGGGCACAATGTTGCGTGTATTTTTAACAGGGTACCTACATTAGAGAGTAAATTGTTCTTGTCCTTGCTGTATCTGGGGCAATTATACTGGTCTATAAGTTTATTTGAGGTCAAGATTTATCTCGAAATGTTTAATAATATTGTAATTAAAATTCTAACATAGAATACAAAAGTAATATTTAATAATATGTTTTCAGGCAAGGAGACATTGGTCTCATAGGCTTGGCCGTTATGGGCCAAAACTTAATTTTGAACATGGCAGATCATGGCTTCACCGTTGTTGCATTTAATAGAACAGTTGAAAAGGTACATCAATTCTTAGCCAATGAAGCCAAAGGTGTGTTTTAGTTATTATGTATGGTACAACATCATTAAGTTTTTTCTCTTTAGGAAAAAGTATTATTGGGGCTCTATCAATAGCAGACTTGGCCTGTAAATTGAAGAAACCTAGAAGAGTTGTATTATTAGTTAAGGCAGGATCAGCTGTAGACAGTTTTATTGATCAACTTTTACCACACTTAGAAAAAGTAACAAAAATAATATAATAATATGCCGGTATCCCAATAATAAATATATGTTTTCATAGGGTGATATCATCATTGATGGTGGAAACTCAGAGTATCAAGATTCTGAAAGGAGATGTAAAGCTTTACAGGAAAAAGGCATCAGATTTGTTGGATCTGGTGTATCTGGTAAGAACAGATTATAATTATTGTTTTTTTTAATCAGAATTACTTCATACTCTCTTAGGAGGTGAAGAGGGTGCCAGGTATGGCCCTAGTTTGATGCCAGGTGGTAACAAGGAAGCTTGGCCTTTTATTAAAGATATATTCCAAGGTATATCTGCTAAAGCTGATGGGCAACCATGTTGTGAATGGGTTGGTAGTGATGGTGCTGGACACTTTGTAAAAATGGTAAAGAGAAACAAATTTTGTCCTGAATCTTTAAAATCAAATAATTTAAATTATTTTGAATAGGTACACAATGGAATTGAATATGGTGACATGCAACTTATTGGAGAGGTTTATCATTTAATGCTAGCATTAGGTGTATCTCAGGATGAGATGGCGAATACTTTTGAAGAATGGAACAAAGGGGAACTAGATAGTTTCTTAATTGAGATAACCAAAGATATTTTGAGGTACAAGGATTCTGATGGTGAGTATTTAATAAAAATAATTCAAATTCATCTAAAAATGGAATATAATTTTTAAATAGCTACAATAGTACAATTAAAAATACTAAAATTATTTTACAACTGTATCTATTTTCATAATAGAATCTGTTTTGAGTTATTCAATATATCAATTATTATCACTATGATTGAGGAAAAAGTATATTAAGGAATAATCTTATTAATTTACAAGTGTAGGAGTTATTATTGTAATTGATAAAACCATTATCATTTATTTTAATCATACATTTCAAAGTATTTGAGCTTTAATATATGGGCTGGAAATGAGTAACTGCAAAAAAATTCAGGAAATGACTGTTATTTTTAAAATACTTAATGTGTTTTTTCATATATTTTTTTCCCTGTAAAGATCTTGTGAAGGTAACCAAATACCTGTATAGTGTGAACCAAAGTCACAATTTTATCTACTTTGTCATACTAAAAAGTTAGAAAAAGTGTAAGTGTCATTAATAAGATCATGTTTATATGTAGAAAAATTATTTATGTGTACTGTGTACAGACCTTTCAGCTACTTCACTGATCACTCTCAGCTTATTCATCCATTTCCAATCATGGTGTAGCCTCCCTCACATATTTAGATACTCTCTTTGTAGTTGGGACCATTATTGTCTATTATTGGCTATGCGGGTCCAAGTTATCTCTGCTAATTCCCTAATATCATGGTACCATCTTAGGTTTGGTCTTCTTCTAGGTCTCCTAATTCGTGGGTACCATGCTGTAATTTTTGAGGTCCATCAGTGGTCTGTCCTTCTTGTCCTGCCCATTGCCACTTGAGGAATTTGATTCTGTGAATGACATCTATTATCTGGGTATTTTGTCATATCCATTCTATTCTTTTACGGTCTTTCTTGGTTATTCCCAGCATAGTTTGTTCCATTGAGCGTTGTGCGACCTGCAGTTTCCTTCTAATGTGGGTTTTAAATGTCCAGATTTCGCATGCCTACGTCATGACTTAGATTTCTAGAATTCTTAGCGTACTAATTATTCTTTTTATTCTTAGCATACTAATTATTGAAAAATATAAACCTATTGTATGAGTCACGAAATCTTAACGGACTTTTTAGTTTCTATTATACAAGATGATTTTGAAAATTTTGAGCATTTTTTGTATTTCAGTTGTCTGACAACTTATCAAAAAGGTAAAAACGATTTCCTATAGAACTTTTTACGGGGAATCCAGTAGCCGTAGTCTGTGCCATAGTTATTTTGTTTTTAATATTTTTGATAGATGTATAGGTCATGTTTGTTTGTGGTTTTTAAAGGAAACACCTTGTAAATTTGTCAAAAAATTAATTTACAGAAACGTCTTTTTACAGAAAGCATCATGCACACCGCAATGTTTCATATCTTTACTATCAAGGGAGATAACCCTCAGTTGCCACCAAAATAGGACACTACATTGAATTGCTAAAAAACGCTTGCGCAAAAAGTATGTCAATATTTTCATCTAAAAGTGACCTAGTCATATAACATTACATTCTCTTGCTTAATGACCGTTATTACAGTTGGGGGTTGGAACCTTTTGTGTTACAACAGCAAAATAAAACACTAAATCACCACAATACACCAAAACACTTTTACTTTTACACTGGACGCGCGTTTTGCTAACCATGTTAGCACATTCAGAGATGATTAAAACTAGGTCTCTGCTAATGATGCTAACATGGTTATCGAAACGCGCGGCCAGTGTAAAAGTAAAAGTGTATTGTGGTGATTTAGTGTTTTATTTTGCTTTTGTTAGTGAACGTGTTTGTGCAAACTAAAATTGAGATGCATATTGTGATTTTGTTTAATTTTCCAAACTTTGTGAAGACAAAGACATTATTTTTAAAAATGATATTTAAATAAAAATTCACTTCCTGATTTTTTTAGTTACAACCTATATATTAAATAAGGTGTGTTCTCAGAAGAATCCCTGCCTAGTCAGCACGTTTTTTATTGGTTAAAATGCGTAGAAACCTGATTGTTAGTCTGGTTTCTACACATTTCAACCAATAAGAAACGCGCTGACTAGTCAGGGATTCTTCTGAGAACAGACCTATAATCTATTGATCAATATGTAATAATAATATATTTATAAGTATTTTTTTACAAATTTTTTGTTTTTATATATTTTTTTTATCTCAATAATGACCAACAATTTATTATTAGGCCAGTACCTTCTTCCAAAAATTAGAGATACTGCTGGACAAAAGGGTACAGGAAAATGGACAGCTATTGCCGCCCTCAACTATGGCGTTCCAGTCACCCTAATTGGTGAGGCTGTGTTCAGTAGGTGTTTGTCAGCTTTGAAGGTGAGACGTGTTTTATTATTTCAATTATTTCAAAATTAACATATACAGTGTGTCCACGGATTGACTCCCAAAGAGGGAAAACTTTTTTATTCCATAAAAACTCCTGCTTGAGCTTAAACGACCAACAGACATATTATTTTTACAAATGTGTTATACCGAGTGTTAGGTTAGGTTAGGTTAGGTTGCTGGGGTTTGGGATCATATTTGATCCCTCACTCGGAGGCCTTGGGCCCATTGCGATACCCCTGTATTGTTTTACCAAACCTTCCTCTCATTCTTTCTTTGCGTTAAAGCACTTCCAGCTCTTTGCAAAGTTCCCGATGTCGCTGATGTTGGCTTATCTCACTACCTAAATGTACAGGGATTGGTAAAAGATTCCTCCCCATATAAAATACACTTTACTCTAAATGAACTTAATTTTTTTTGAATAACTACTTTTAAATCCTTGTTTATTACCTTTACGCAATTTCATTACTTCCCTTTTTAAATTAACCAATGTAGGCTATAAAATAAAACTCGTACACAATGAATTATTAAACTTTTTTTTAGAAAACGAATGAAAAATAAAAAATATTGTTGCAAACAAATAATAGATAATAAAGGCAGGTTGTAGCAGGTGTTATTAAAAAAAATTAAGTTAATTTAGAGTAAAATGTATTTTATATGGGGAGGAATCTTTTACCAATCCCTGTACATTTAGGTAGTGAGATAAAATTTGGTAACGTGGGTGTAGTTTTTCAATCCCTAGAACTTTTATTAATAACTTTTCATCGTATTTTTACATATACAAGTACTTTGTTCTTAGCGTTTTCCATATTTTTTAAACTTTTTAACACTCGGTAAATACATTTGTAAAAATAATATGCCCGTTGGTCGTTTAAGCTGAAGCAGGAGTTTTTATGAAGAATAACTTTTTTTCATAATTAAACGAATAAAAAAGTTTTCCCTCTTTGGGAGTCAATCTGTGGACACACTGTATATTTACAAAATCTTCATATTAATGATGCCAATTAAGTTCAGTATGGTCATAATGCTTTATCTAAATATTTTAGATGTAAAGTTAGTTACTGTAAAAAAGTAATTAAAAAAGCATTCAATTATAACTTTATTAAAAATTAACAAGTATTATTTTTCCGAGATTTAGTCGAAATTGACAAATATATAATATAAACTCATTGATCGTGACCTAATCCATAATCAGTTCAAGTTCACTCACTGACCGACAGATAAACTAGAATCAGTGCAAACTGATATCCAAATATAATTTATGTAACATGTTGTTAATCAGTTGTAATGTTTTTTAAATTATATTAAATTACAGGCTGAAAGGCAGAAGGCTAGCTCTGTTTTGCCAGGCCCTAATGGTAAATTCAGTGGAGATAAAAGAAAATTTTTACAAGACCTAAGTCAGGCGTTGTATGCCAGCAAAATTGTCTCTTATGCACAAGGTAATGATTTAATAATCAAAATTTAAATAAAAGTTTATTTTATTTAAATTTAGATTAATACTAATACAATTTTAGTAAATTTTATTAGTATTTTTATGTTATTTGTTTCATTTCATCATGATAATTTCGTAATTCTAAGCAATAACGAAACCTATAAGACTATAAGCTAATAACATAAAACACTTTTATTCTAGTTTGTTATACCGATTGCGTCCCAAAAGTGGCCCAATCAAACCTGTAACTTTTTTATTTTCGGAGATAAAAAACGAGAATTGGGTTGTTACTATGACATAAATTAGGATTGATTGATGTATTCAATTGTTTTTGATCACTTCCTGTTTCACCGGAAATGACTACAAGTTTTGATTTTTAAATGCCACTCTCGGTATTTTTTTACTTTATTCAATAGAAAATGACACTCTGAATAGAATGACATATCATATGTCAAGTTTTGACATTTTACCATATAGATTTTTAGAAATTGTAACATGCGGTTCATAACAATTTGATTCGAAATACCGAGTGTGTGGTACCAAATTATTCGTAAAATATTACTTTTTCCAAATATGCTAATGAGCCACCAATTGTTCCATTTAAAAAAAATGAGATATGATTAAAAATACGATTTGGGCATATTTTAACTGGCCAGGACAAGACACGAAAAACATTAGACTGTCTTTTTCAAAGTCTTCTTGATTAAAAATTAGTGTTTTTAACACGGTCATGGCACTCTAGATTGAAGTTTAAAATACGATTTTCTTTTAAGCGAAAACGTCAAAAGTTGCCATTTTCTAATGAATAAAGTAAAAATATACCGAGGGTGTCATTTAAAAATCAAGAGTTGTCATTATTTCTGATGAAACAGGAAGTGACCAAAAACAACTGAATACTTCAATCAATCCTAATTTATGTCATATACTAACATACCAAATTTCGTCCTTTTACGTAAAAAGATAAAAAAAAAATTATAGGGGTGAGCCACTTTTGAGACGCACACGGTATAGGCTTTTGCATCTAATATATATAGCCCTTATATTAAGGAACTTAGGGATTATGTTTTACGCGCAGATCTAAATTGTGTACTAGGACGTATTTCAGGAAAATATGTTCACTTGTACAGGTTGTTCCAAACAATTGTGAGACCTACTCAAAATTTTCTGGTTGGGGTTATTTTTTTAAAATTGAGCGCCCTGCATTTTATTGCTTTTTGGATTCTTTCCTGATCACATATTAGTAGTCAGATCAGCAAGCCTGTTCACTTGACGTAACCCTAGGTTATGACAGTGACGGTTGTGTCTATCATTTAAATGTATAGGCTTGGTGCATTCTCCGCCGGTGCTGCCACCGCCCGGGAATATCGTAAATAACGAACACATACAAATACACGGGTTTAAATGGCGAGTAAATGAAAAAAAAATAGTATATAATTATTCTCAAAGTTTTAGAAAGTATAATTTGTGGAAATTCTAAACAAAAAAATAAAAAAGGTGAATATTTTGATATCTTCAGAAGGTCTAACGTGCATTATAATTTATTATTCCAGTTAAAAAAAATTAGATGAGTTCAACTACGGTACCGAACATAGTTTTATCACCGGTTTTGCTAGTAAGGCATAATAATTGGAGCTATTTCGCCTACAACGAAATTTTTTAAAGGTACATAATTATAATTGTAGAAGATGTTCATAAAACATTTAATCACTAGTTGATTAAAAAAGTATACCATTAATATTGCAACTTATATTTCATCCTCTCATAGTATATGTGTCTATTTAATTTTTTGATTATGTAACGAGCACTTTGTTTACTCACTTGTTTCGTCGAACTGCTTGAATCCATTTTTGCTATTGATCAAATCGGTGTAAGAAATTATGAAGCTATAAAATGTTGTTTCGGTAGAGTTGAATATTCGGAAAAGTTGAGTTATTGAATGTTATTGCACCCAACAATGCCTTAATTACGCTCTCCTTTACGCGTTAACAATTTTTTGGTCAATTTTATTAACATTTAAAATTGTTACAACACAACAAGAAGCCTAGTTTGAATTCTTTTTCACTTATTTTTTACTACCCGAAACAGCGTTACATTACACAAACCTCGTACCTGTGTGTTTTATAGTCTCAATAACTGCACTAGCAAAAAAATAAAATACTTAAATATTATGACAAAGCCCCGATTTCAATTTTATTTTAAAGCGATCGACACGACGCGCGACGGCGGCGTGAACTATATTTTGATCATTTCTGATTTCTGACGTAGGGTGCGCTGCGGTCGGAATTTGTTGAAATCAACTGAAATGCACCAAACCTATAGGCAAATTGTTTTTGAATGTTGTTCACAGACTGTCATTATTTATATATTTGTTTTCATAGTTCCTGACAAATAAAGAAACAGAAAAAAACAGAATATAGGTCTACAAAAAGCTCAGTGCACTATTGCAAAATCCTTTATAAACTCTTTCATTATTAAACTTTAACGACATTAATTTCATTTTTGCCATTTTTTTAAGTTAGTTTGTGATTAATACTGTGTTTGTTAATAATTATTGTTTCAATTCGATAATGACATGATAGGGATATAAATGAATGTATGTTTTTTCTTAGGTTTTATGCTGCTACGTGAGGCAGCTCAAGTACACAACTGGGATTTGGATTATGGTTCCATAGCCCTTATGTGGAGAGGCGGCTGCATCATCCGTTCAGTTTTCTTGGGCCAGATCAAAAAAGCGTTCGACGCAGACAAAAACCTGCGATCGCTTCTGCTAGCGCCGTTCTTCATAGATGCCATTAACAAGGCACAATCTGGTTGGAGGAATGTTGTTTCTACCGCCGTGACATTAGGTAATTATACAGAGCGTTTCATAAAACATTTGCCATCTTTCATGGGGAGATTTCTCTCGTAAAAATAAGATTTATTTTTCATATTAACATAGGTCCGATTCTGCTTTGTTTCGTAGCTACAGGTGGTTAGTTCTCCATCCTTTTCTAATTTATTATACTTTTCTTCCAAGTGCTTTTAGCCGATTTGAATGAAATTTTGAGGGTAAAAGTATTTTTTTTATGAGTGCGACATATTTTAATAAAAAGTGTCGAGATATTCACCAGGGACGTGCGTATGGGTTAGTGGAATATTTTTCTAAAAAATATATCTCAATCTCATTGAGAAGATCGAAATGGACAAAATATCAAGATACAACTTTTAATCGGCATTAAATGGCCTAAACACTTTTGCTAATAAGAGGGAAAGAAGTCAGAGGCGCACGTTTTTTTAGAAAAATATCCCAGTGCCTTAATTACTGCCATATGCACGTCCCTGGTGAATCTGGGAACACTTTTTTTAGGATTAAAATATAATATATAAATATATAATATAGCACTCATAAGACTAAGTTCCTGTAGCTACGAAACAAAGCAGAATCGGACCCATATTATGAAAAATACATTTATCATTTCTAAGTCAACCTGACGCCGTTTTTTTCCATCATAGATCATACCTGTTTACAGAACAAAAAGTCTTATAAGCAACATATTGAGTAGAAATATGGTAAAATTTATATGAGTAGTTCAAATGTACCATTGTTACAAGTAACAGGTGCATTATTTAAGTTTGTTTTGTCACTTTTATTGCAATAGTAACTTTCATGGGATGGATACTTATGTCTATTAACCGGTCGAAAATTGTTAATATAAGCAACAATATTCTGGACAGAAATAAATCTACGGTAATATAAAGTAAAGTAAAATACGTAAATAAAGTGACTAACATACTTTTTATTCGGAAAGACACGAGTAGTTCAAACGTACCAATTTTATACTTACTATAAAGTAACGAAATATAAACTTAATCGAGTATTTCTATACTAATTAATGATCAGAAAGTTTCATTATCAAATTGGTTTTGATAAGCCTGCTTGATAATAAAACTTTTTGGCCTTACTATACCGGGTGCGTCTCAAAAGTGGCTCACCCCTATAACTTTTTTATTTCTTGAGATAAAAAAAACGAGATTTGGTATGTTAGTATATGACATAAATTAGGATTGATTGACATATTCATTTGTTTTCTTAACTGCCTGTTTCGCCGAAAATTACTACAACTTTTGATTTTTAAATAGCACCCTCGGTATTTTTTTAATTTATTCGATAGAAAATAACATTCTGAATAGAATGACATATCATATGTCAACTTTTGACATTTTTGTTTAAAACAAAATTGAATTTTAAATTTCAATCTAGAGTGCCATGGCTGTGTTAAAAACACTAATTTTTAATCAAGGAGCCTTGGAAAAAAATTTGATCGTCTAATATTATTCGTGTCTTGTCCTGGCTGGTTAAAAGATGCCCAAATCGTATTGTTAATCTCATCTCAATTTTTTCAAATGGAACGAAAGTGGCTCATTAGCATATTTGGAAAAAGCATTTTTTTACGAATAATTTGATACCACACACTTGGTATTTCGAGTCAAATTATCGTTATGAACCGCATGTTATAATTTCAAATAAACCATATGCGAAAATGTCAAAGTTGACATATGATATGTCATTCTACTCAGAGTATCATTTACTATCGAATAAAGCAACAAAAAACCGAGGGTACCATTTAAAAATCAAAAGTTGTAGTCATTTCCGGCGAAACAGGAAGTGACAGAAAACAATTGAATACGTCAGTCAATCGTAATTTATGTCATATATTAACATACCAAATCTCATTTTTTTATCTGAAAAAATAAAAAAGTTATAGGGGGTGAGTCACTTTTGAGACGCACCCGGTATAGAAATATAAACTTAATCGATTATGTTGTATTATTATGTTGACGAAATAAAATACTAGTTTGCCGCAATACACCAAAACATTACTTTTACCTCTGGCAGTGTTGACATTTGAACATTGAAGCACCCCCAAATCTCATTGTTACTATATTGTATTTTCTCTGCTGTGGATTTTTTTGACAGGATAGACTAGTTCTAGTATTCTCGTGCTAGAACTAGTCTCTAACTCTAGTCATATGACTTCGACAGACGAAAAAAAATGGGTCACTTTAATAAGTTATTAAGACAGTCTAGGTTAGGTAATCACTGTTATTTAGTCTTTTTTCAATTATATTGTTACGGATTCCATGGGTCCACTACTTTAAACTCATGATAAAATACTTAACGAATTTATTTTTCTCACTATATACACAATTTACGCACAACTATAACAATACAACTGACTATTAAAACTATTTTCACAAATTAGTCCACAATTTTTCTATTACGGAGCAGTATCCAATAACTGAGAGTCCGATCAAGCGCGGGAAGCGCCTTATATTGTAGCGGCTGCTTCTAGACATTTCTGTAATTTTCTGTACCATTCTGCCCCCTACCAGTAAATTCTGCTGCCTGGTTCGAAGTTACAGAACTCGCTTTTCTTCTACTTGGCTCGTTCCCCGACAAATGTCGCCATACATCTTGACAATATTTCCAAAAGATCCTGTTTTCTGTTTTTCTGTAGATGGGGTCTATCGAAAAAAATGTATTCTTTCACTAGACAGCCTGTAAGATACCGTGCTGGCAACTGTTACTTTTGGGTTGGCATTTACATGTGTGGAAGTAAATTGCATAGGGATCTTATTAAGTCGGAGTGAGAGATATGCGACGGTGTGCTGATGCGGCGTTGCCGGTACGTTTTTCCCTATCAAGTAAAGTAAAATCACGATCGCAAACCGCTAATTTTTAAATGACTTTTTTTCGAAAAGATAACTAGATAAAATCATTAGATATGTTTCTGAGCATCTCAAAATGGAATTACATGAATATCGTTAGTGTCCATTTTTTATAACGATAAAACATCAGTAATCGCGATAATTTAAAATCTCAACTTTTTAACACAAAACACGCCATTACTTAAGAACCACTTTAGACATTGAAGTTTTTTTTATTTTGAAGATCGGATCTTTTACAATATGTTTAAATAAGAAAAATTCGATTTTTTTCATTCAAAAAGTTAAACAACCCATCCATTTGCTTTTAGTGCATAGCAATTTTCAGCAATCGTGTAACTTTTTTATTTATAAAGATTTTCACATACTGTCTGCGAAGAAAATATAGCAGAAATGTTAAGAAAGTTTTTGAAAAAAACTACAATCAAATCAGTCATTTTTAATAGATTTCGAGATATCGATTTTTGAATTCAGAGTTCTAATAGCGCGACCACTGTCGAACACCAACTCAGTTCCACTCATTTTTACCAAAAATGCAAGAATTTCTAACTTGAACTTAAAAATGTTCAAGCTGTAGGGAAATTTACAACGACTCGTTAATAAATAAACAAAGTATCCCGAGACGTAATTAAATCGTGAAGCTGAACGCATGATGTACACATTACTGACAGAGCTACTGCTTGGGTCGTCCGATCGACTGCGACAAAATCTGTTATATCCCCTTCCACGTCTCTTAGCAATGTGCACAGTTTCTCGGTTTATTTCATTCTTGTGTTTACTGTTCTCTCTTTGTTTAGTACATTATAAATGCATTGTACTCTTCTTACATACGGAAGTATCGACCCAAGACTAACCTTTCCCAGCCCTTAGTATACATAGTTTCAAAAGTTCACTATAGGCTAGATAGTTTATAAATAGAATAGGTATAATGTGTACAACGACTGTTCAACTGATACTTTGTTCAACTGTTACTTTTACCAAAGAATATTATAGTTTTAAGAACTCTCGTGTGGAAGCTTTAGTGATTTGTCACACCGTGGCGCTTTTGAACATAATCGAAGCCTGAAAATGCTAATATTTTAAATTTTGAGGACTACGCGCGGCGATATTTCGTACGGTGTTGCCAAAACATATTTTATTTCTCGATATTTAAAGAAATATGTATTGATTATATTATATATTTCGTATTCGTTAGTACATGAGGCATCCTAAGACTATAAAAACGTAACTATGAAAATAAAATTTTAGATTTTTAATTTTTTTGTACCTTCTAATAAAAATTATTTCTATTCCAATAAAAAATTAACTAGTATGATTATGTGTTATCTGTGCTAGTATTAGGAAACTGGAGTAAATACGGAGAATATTAATTCGTTCTCTAAGATGAGTACTACTAAGTATTTTTTTAAAATTCGACCCATAAGGGGGTGTAATTAGATAAAGGGGTGTAATTATACAAAAAAAATCTGTACCTACTAGGAGCACTAGGAGTATGAACTTTTGCACAGATGTGGCACATTTGAACATTGATAAGCGATTTTTGGAAATGTATAGCCTAAGGGTAGTGAAACTGGGGGTGAAATTTTGTACAAAAAATGTTAGTTCTAGGAGTATGAAATTTTGTACAGAGTTTCCTTAAGTGACGAAAGTGAGTACCTAGAAGCTAATTTTTGACATTCATCCCCTAGAAATAAGGGATGAAAATTTGTACAAAAGTTTGTTACAATCGGTTTTAGAAGTATGAAATTCTGCACACACGTTCCTTATGTAACGTAATTTAGCACTTTTTGGAAATTCGCCCTCTAAGGGTGTGAAATGAGGGGTGAACGTTCTGAAACAATTCTGTTGAAGGAATATGAAAATCTGCACAGAGGTGCCTTATGTAGCGTAATTGAATAATTAGAGTGATTTTTGGAATTCATTCCTTAAAAAGGAATGAACTAGGGGTAAAACTAGGGGTGAAAATTTGTATAATTTTTTATGTAAAATCCGTTCTAGGACTAGGAGTATGAAATTCTGTTCAGAGGTCCCTTAAATGATGAAAGTGAGTACCTAGAAGCGAATTTTAGGCATGCATCCCCTAAAAATAAGGGATGAAAATTTGTACAAAAATTTGTTAAAATCGGTTTTAGAAGTATGAATTTTGCAGACGTTCCTTTTGTAACGTAATTTAGCACTAAGAAGCAATTTTTGGAAATTCGCCCTCTAAGGGTGTGAAATGAAGGGTGAACGTTCTGAAACAATTCTGTTGAAGGAATATGAAAATTTGCACAGAGGTTTCTTATGTAGCGTAATTGAATAATTAGGGTGATTTTTGGAATTCATTCCTTAAGGGGGTAAAACTAGGGGTGAAAATTTGTATAATTATTTATGTAAAATCCGTTCTAGGACTAGGAGTATGAAATTATGTTCAGAGGTCCCTTAAATGATGAAAGTGAGTACCTATAAGCGAATTTTAGGCATGCATCCCCTAAACAATAAGGGATGAAAATTTGTACAAAAATTTGTTAAAATCGGTTTTAGAAGTATGAATTTTGCAGACGTTCCTTATGTAACGTAATTTAGCACTAAGAAGCAATTTTTGGAAATTCGCCCTCTAAGGGTGTGAAATGAGAGGTTGAACGTTCTGGAACAATAAATTCTGTTCAAGGAATATGAGAATTTGCACAGAGGTTTATTATGTAGCGTAATTGAATAATTAGAGCGATTTTTGGAATTCATTCCTTAAGGGGATAAAACTAAGGGTAAACATTTGTATAATTTTTATGTAAAATCCGTTCTAGGACTAGGAATATGCAATTTTGTACAGAGGTCCCTTAAGTGATGAAAGTGAGTACCCAGAAGAAGATTTTGGACATGCACCCCCTAAAAAATAAGCACTCCCTATAAACAATTAAAATTAAAAAAAATTGTCTAAAAAATAAAAAAAAAGTTGGGGTGGACCACTCTTATCACTTAGGGGTATAAAAAATAGATAACCTGGGAATAGGTTGTGACCAAACCAAACCAAACCAGACCTACTGAATATACATATAAAATTTTATCAAAATCGGTTAAGCCGTTTCGGAGATGGTAACAAAAAACTTAAAAAAACAACCTCTATTAAAAAATAGGGGATGATGGTAGAACGGTGAAAATTTAGAGTTGTTTGTATTTTTTAATGCCAAATAAAAAAAAATAAAATATTTTTTTTTCAAACAATAAAAAAATGGGGGTGAGCTACCCTTATCAATTAAGGGTATAAAAAATAGATAACAAACTATTTTCAGACCTACTCAATATACATAATAAAACGTCATCAAAATCGGCTAAGCCGTTTCGGAGATGGTAACAAGAAAACAACCCCTATTAGAAAATACGGGATTATGGTAGAACGGTGAAAATTTAGAGTTGTTTGTATTTTTTAAGGCCAAATAAAAAAATATTTTTTTCCAAAAATAAAAAAATGAGGGTGGGCTACCCTCTCGGCTACCCTTATCACTTAAGGGTATAAGAATATATAACAACCTATTCTTAGACGTACTGAATATACATATAAAATTTTATCAAAATCGGTTAAGCCGTTTCGGAGATGGTAACAAAAAACTTTAAAAAACAACCCCTATTAAAAAATAGGGGATGATCGTAGAACGGTGAAAATTTAGGGTTGTTTGTATTTTTTAATGCCAAATAAAAATTAATTAAAATATTTTTTTTTCAAAAATAAAAAAAAATGGGGGTGGGCTACCCTTATCACTTAAGGGTATAAAAATAGATAACAACGTATTCTCAGACCTACTGAATATACATATAAAATTTCATCAAAATCGATCAAGCCGTTTCGGAGATGGTAACAAAAAATTTAAAAAAAACATCCCCTATTAAAAAATAGGGGATGATGGTAGAACGGTGAAAATTTAGGGTTGTTTGTATTTTTTAATGCCAAATCAAAAAAAATTAAATTTTTTTTTTCAAAAAATAAAAAAAATGGGGTTGGGCTACCCTTATCACTTAAGGGTATAAAAATAGATAACAACGTATTCTTAGACCTACTGAATATACATATAAAATTTCATCAAAATCGATCAAGCCGTTTCGGAGATGGTAACAAAAAATTTAAAAAAAACATCCCCTATTAAAAAATAGGGGATGATGGTAGAACGGTGAAAATTTAGGGTTGTTTGTATTTTTTAATGCCAAATAAAAAAAATTAAAATATTTTTTTTTTCAAAAAATAAAAAAAATGGGGGTGGGCTACCCTTATCACTTAAGGGTATAAAAAATATATAACAACCTATTTTCAGACCTACTCAATATACATATAAAATTTCATCAAAATCGGCTAAGCCGTTTCGGAGATGGCAACAAAAAAAATAAAAACAACCCCTATTAAAAATAGGGGATGATAGCAGAACGGTGAAAATTTAGGGTTGTTTGTATTTCTTAATGCCAAATAAAAAATAAAAAGAGATTTTTTCTTTTCAAAAACTAAAAAAAAATGAGGGTGGGCTACCCTCTCAGCTACCCTTATCAGTTAAGGGTATAAAAATAGATAACAACATATTCTTAGACGTACTGAATATACATATAAAATTTTATCAAAATCGGTTAAGCCGTTTCGGAGGAGTACGGTAACCAAAACCACCCAAAACTGTAACACGAGAATTATATAGATAATATTATATGAAAACTGCGGAGTGCGGAGAGCGGAGAGCGGAAAGACTGATTATAGCAATAGATGAAATTTAAAACTATAATTTAAAACTATTCAAGAAAGTACATACAAAACAAGGCAACGCCGCGCGTCTGTTCGTTCAATTCCGAGCAAAATAGCGAGGCCCCACGAAGTTGGGGCCTCGCTCGCCAAAGCGAGGCCCCATCGACAGGTCAGATTTTGATGCGAGACGAGACTTCTAGGGTATTAAGATATTCTTTGCTTTTACCCTCAACGTTACGTCATCGTTATTTATTTAATATAAGATTTAGGTTGTCATAATATTTAGAAAATTTCAATAATAAACAAGTTTTTTTACAAAACTGTTTTCTCTTTCAGGTATTCCAACTCCAGCTCTATCCACCGCCTTAGCCTTCTACGACGGATACAGATCAGAACGTCTGCCCGCTAACCTACTCCAAGCACAGAGAGACTACTTTGGAGCACACACTTACGAACTATTGGGACAAGAGGGCAAATTCGTACACACCAACTGGACCGGACACGGCGGAAACGTTTCGGCATCTACTTACGACGCGTAGAGACACGCGCACAAGTTCTTGTTTCGTTATGTTTCTAATGTTTATATTTATATGTTGAATGAGGTGGGTATATGTTGACAGCTAAATGAAATATATTTTTAAGACGAACACAGTTGGATTTTATTTGATAATAGACATTAAGAGAAAATATTGCTAAAGTCTATTAAATGATAACAAAAAAGTAGTAATAATAAGAGACATATGAAAAGGCCAAACAAGGCGCATCAATGCCATTCATAAGTCTAGAACCCTTCTGCGGCGCTGCAAAAGCAGTCCCAAGAATGGCACAAAACAGTGGATGGCCACCATATCTCCAGAACAGTGGCTGTTGTATAATTTACCATGGCAGAGACAGGCGAAAAAGTTTATAATAAAATATTCGCTAAAATTCATTCCTAATAGGCACTGTAAGCTTAATAGACATCTAAAGTTTAAGGGATTGACAGATGAAGCCATGTTCAGATTTTACCAATCTGAAGAAGAAACGACAGAACACATTTTATGTCAGTGTGATAACCTGGTAAATGTGTGGTTCCTTGTAATAGGCAATGATAAACCACTGACAAAGAGCTATATGCAGGGTTCAGTCTCCAAATTGCTAGACTTTTTGAAAATGATAGAACTGGAGAATGTAACCTAAAGATCTGAAGAGAACCGCAATAGATTTGAAAAAGGCGTAAAAAAAGCTCAAAAAATCTGTCAAATGAGAGGATACCTGACAGTGACAGTTGTAGTTTGTCATTTAATTCACAAGTAAATTGTAGGTTCCGTCATAATTTTGATATCGTCTGTGGAAATCATCCCTGAGTCATTGGGCAGACTTCACTAATGCTTTTTCATCTAAAATACATTTAAGTAATTAATTTATACGAATATACAGAGTGACCTAACGTTCCGAAAAATAAACTATATCAAGTGTGTGTGGTTTGAAGTTTTCTCTCCAACTTTTTTATTTTTAAATATGCGGACAATGGTAGCACACACCACTTTAAAAATAGTTTTATCAATATACAGGGCGATTCAACCTTTTCACCGACTCCGGAGTATGTACTTGGAGTAAAATTTTGTGTCTAGCCCCTTCCTTATCCCTTTCCACGTCTCTTAGCAATGTGCACAGTTACTTGGTTTATTTCATACGTTTGGCAACGTTTTACTGCTCTCTTTGTTCAGTACTTTATCAATGCATTGTACTTTTCTTACAAACGTATTATTTCAAAGATAAACCTTGCCGACCCTAGTACAATAGATTTCTAAGTAAAACGAAAAACAGGTGTACTAATTCGGAAAATGTATAGTATAAAATAAAACAACTCATTGAACTTACACCACATTTAATCTTGATATAACAACAACTAGAAATATTAACCAAATAAAACATGGTTTAACATAAAAAATCTGATACAAATATTAGGTCTCCTTCGAAAATAATTTTATAAATATTAGTAAACACCAAAAGGACAAAATTAAGTACCAACTACCATAAAACTTTTGTACATTTGACTAGATTTTACTCAACTGATAAAAAATATATTGCTTTAAAATCTAAAAAGAAGACCCTCTATTTAGTAATTTTAAAATATAACATGTGTAAACAAAACAATTTCAGTCCCTTAACCAGATATTACAAACAGATAACATGAGTATGAATAAAAAGATGTTAAAATATGAAGTGTAAAAAACTATACGAAAGCATTGCTTTAAACGTGCAAAATTATTAAAATAAACTTACTATAGTTTAAAATCTGGTTTTGTGTCTTTATTAAAATTCATATTTTCTATGTGTTTTTCTAACTAAGTAACTTACGCACCATGTAGTTCAATATACCACCGTTTCTATAAAACAGCAAATCTACTTCAGTGTCGAATCGTAAGATGACGTCAAATGTTTTACCAGAATCTGTGGACACCTAATATAGGCAAAGAGAAAACGTGCAATTATTAGGGCTATATACATTAAAAACGATTTCTTCAATATTATGGGAATACGGCCGATAAACCCCATTTAAAAAATATATTTACAAATGTATAGAGATTACAGACTTAAGCTTGATTCAGAACCTCACAAGTAGTGTATATCGTACATAAATTAGTGAGTTCAATTATAGTTTATGCTTAAGAGTTTACGATCATTCACAATGTCTAAAAAATACAATTAAAAATAATAGAATATCCTAGCAATAGCTTGCGGTAGTCAATTGTGTCCATAGGGAAACCTAAAATTTCTCTTGAGGGATGAGAGTCAAAGGCCAAAATGATATTACTCGCAAATTTTAAAGTATAAGATAGTGATGGGATCACTCGAGTGAAAAATACTCGGTCATCCGAGTATTCATATCCTCGGTATGTCTCGAGTATTATTGTCGATCCTCGAGGATTACTCAAGGATTACTCGTTAACTAACACCGGGTGTGGTGTACCGTCCTCGCTGCTCGCGACGATACAGGCGATTTACGATTTAAGCTTGATTTTCATGCATCCGTTGTCCGACGATACGATATTAATTTTATTGATTGAATTTAAAGACTTCGGTTGGTTAGAAACGGTTAACCAATCGAAGCCTTTAAATACAACCAATGAAATTAATATCGTATCAACGTATCGTCGGACAGCGGATGCATGAAAATCAAGCTTTATGCTGAACCTTTTTTTGTCGATCTCCGAGCATTACTCGGCATGCAACTAACATCGGGTATGGCGTACCGTCCTCGCTGCTCGCGACGGTACAGGCGATTTACGATTTATGCTGAAACCTTAATATAGAGGACAGAGGATAACCGTTTAATCACTTGCTCGCATATCGCTCGCCATAATAGTCGGTTTTCAGAGTAGTAACCTGCATTTTTGAACAGAAATACATTACTTATTTTTGTTTTGTTTAGATGTTTAGATGGGATATATTAATTACAATATTTATTTAAATTATAAAGATTTTTTCTCCATACTTTATATTTTAAGATTTATAGTTTTTTAACCATTGATATAATAATAAAATGTTGTTTTTTCTGTGTAATAATTCAGAATTGAAACATTTGAAAATTCATAATACGTCAGTTTTCGACTTTCAAAATTCCATTTGACAAAACCACAGTTGTTTATTTGGGTTAAGGCTTTGGAGAGTTTGCTTTATTTGCATATTTAATTTTCAATTTACGTGTTTTCTTGTAAAAAACCTTTGCTTGTAGTTGAGCGTTGGGAGACTATATTCTTATGAAACTATAATCGAAATTTAGTGTGATGGAACGTAGATATAAAGTGAACGATTTGCGGAATTTGCCAACAAGAACAATAACAACATTACTGTATTATATATTATATATCATTTTTTTTCAAACAGTTTTTAAAGCGACAGCTGACTCGTTGTAAGCCTTAAGCTCGGCCTTAAGTAAAATTTTATTAGTTAATATTTTTCTATTATGAAGGTTCACACGAGAAAGAGGTTGAAAATCCGAAACAATCAAGATTAACAATTTTTTTTCGATTATTAGTTACGCTGTGCCCAAACAATACAGTTGGTAAATTCAATTTTAAAACTGGATATTATGTCGCACAAAAAATTTAAAATATGCACAATAACACAATACTACTACAATTTATTAGGTACTACAGTTTATTTTCGATGAAAGTATGCTATTGAAAAGTAAAACAAAATATATTTTTTATCTCAATGACCGACCGTCGACAAATAAACAATAAATAACGAGCCATTTTTAAAAAGCCGCACGTATTTCCTAGAATTACTTGGTTTCATTTGGCCTGAAAGTGTGCTGAAAGTTGCCAGATTAGCCTCAAAGTCGGAGTTAAAGAAACAAAATCAGCACAATTTAAAACAAAACCTATGAAAATTTTATTTCCCACATGAAATTATACACGAACATATTAAAAATTATTAAAAAAGTCTTTAAAATAATTAGTATTTATTTTTATTACAATATTATTTAAGTCATTCAAGTACATGGCAACGGTGTGTTAAAAACAGCAATCGAAATCACTCACACCCAGCGGCGAGTATTATTCAGGTTTCGATGGAGATATTATACAGAGAAAATTTATGACCGAGGATTCCTCGGATGATCATCCGATTATTGGAATCCTCGAGTATCAATATTCGAGGATTGAAATCATCCGATTTTTCCCAACACTAGGTATAAGAGTTTGTAAGTAAAAACAATCTTCGGATTGTCACGGGGTTTTTAATAGGACACTGTCTCCTCAACGAACACCTACACAGTATATTGAAGCTAAGAAACAACGGCGAATGCAAATTCTGTGGGAAAAATGGGGAACCGCCAGAACACGTCATCACTGAGTGCGCTGAAACAACTACCATTCGTGCCATAAAGTTTGGTACTACTGATATCGGAGGTGGCGAACTAACCTCTATAAAACAGTCTCATATACTGGCTTTTGTCAAAGCCCTGAGAGTGTATGATAAGTTATTACTCAAGAAAGGGGGCACCATAGATCTGTAAGGTCGCGATGATTAACACCCCTCTCATACATTCCACATTCTACGAGTTTCTAAGGAACAAACTTCTAGTCTGACAAACGGATCTGAAACAACGGGGCAACGGTAAGGGGATCGCAATTTTGTCAAATCATGACCGATTTCATTCATAAAATATCCAGGAGCGTGCGTGTTTCATAAAAATATATCAGGAATATTTATAATATTTTCCAGTAAAGTTTATAATATTATTTTACTTTAAATGTACCTACATTTTGTTTAGTCATTTGCCAATAAATATAGTAATATTTGTTAAAACGCGTGTACTAATTACAATAAGCACAAATCAAGTTAAAGGCATAAACACAATAGTAGTGACTAGTGACTGTTTCTACTATTCCTAGAGAGGGGCATAAAGTTGGGGGTAATGGCGGTAAGACGTGCGAGAATCTCAACCAATCAGATTGGCTGAATCCGAGATGCCATGATGAATTTTGTCAGCGTTGCCAGCTTGCCCTAAGCGGACGTTATCTTTAGGAAATACTTCACCTTTTATAATAGGCAGAATGAAGGAGATCAGTTAATTAGATAAATATACATTAATATGATAAAAACTACGTCAAGATATTAGCATATATATAATTATGTATGCTGAAATGAACTAAAATATATTTAATTTATAGGTAATATTGAGCAACTTTGCTATTATTAAACGTGACAACGTCGACTTTTTTTGCCCGAATTTCTTTTGCTGTTTTAGATTCTTTTGTCAGATAATCTCGAAATTAGTGGAATAAATTAGTGGTTTCAATTAGCGGAGAAGTTTGATCCTCAAATTTGAATGTAAGCATTCAGAACGTTAAAATTAGTGGTAGGAATTTTCAATTAGGGGAAAAGTTAAAAGTCATTTTCGCCTTCGATTATCATCCGTCAAGAGAAAATGTGGTTAGAAATCAAGTTTATTGTTTTATAAGCCAAATATTAGGCTTTCTCTATGGATACAACTGATTACCGCAAGCTATTGCTAGGATATTCTATTAATTTTAATTGTGTTTTTTAGACATTGTGAATAATCGTAAACTAAAAAGTATAAAGTGTAATTGAAACCACTAATTGCGATGTTCTGAATGAAGCTTTAGTCTTTTTCGAGGTCTTTTTATTCAATATCTTGTATAAAAGCAAGTTGTTTTTTTCTGTCAATTTTGTAACGTCGCGTCGTCCCTTTTCTTGGTGGACACACTTTAGTAGATTAATTGAAGGGCTTTTTGTAATAACATGATATGCCACAAATCCATAATTCCAAATTATTAGACTTTGCAGTTTTGAAAAAATGCGTAAATTTAACTATTAATAAATATAAATTTGGAGACGTTTTAGATATAGTTTAGTTTAACTCGCTAAGTATTTATCTAACAAATTTGTTGGATAAAAGGCAAGAAAAACACTAGTTACTAGTAAATAAAACTGATTTCTGGTTGAGTGGCTTATCATGTTAACTAAAAAGTTTTGGACAAAATATGAAATAAAATATAGAAAATTAATTAAAATTTGATTTTTTATAATATTTATTACCCACCTGAATATGCTGTCCTGGCTTTAAGTTTTCGGGTAAATGAATCGTGTAGGTTTCTTTTCCGGTTAAGCCTAAAGTTTCGGCATTTTGTTCAGGCAGGAACTGCAGAGGCACCAAACCCATTCCCACCAAATTTGAACGATGGATACGTTCAAACGATTCAGCTATTACTGCAGTTATACCCTAAACAATAAGTAAAAAATATACAGGGTGAGTCTTATACAGGGTGACTCTTAAACAAGTGCAAATATTTTCAGGGCTGGTAGATATCGATAAAAGAAACATAGTTTCTCTTTACCATTTTTCAAATAACTCCAAAATAACCGAGTTATTTAAGTTTGAAAATTTAAAAAAAAAAATATTTTTTTTGGACAATTTTTGATAGCCACCGGATTTTTTCTGTATTTGCATTCCTTTAGTGCCATAACCATAGAGTAAAGCTGTCACTATGGTAATATCAGAGATTAAGAAATTATACCGTGAGAAAATTTGCGGTGAACAGGCAGATCTAAAAAGTTTTCGAAAATTATACAGGGAAATTTAAAAGAAAATGTACGATTTTCAACATATTTTTTTTCTGTTCCTGGGGTCGAAATATACCACCCCGGAAAATATTTGCACTTATTTAAGACTCACCCTGTATAAGTGCAAATATTTTTAGGGCTGGTAGATCTCAATAAAAGAAACAAAAATTAATTAATAAAAAAAACTAAAATTTTCTCTTTACCGTTTTTCAAATAAGTCCAAAATAACAGAGTTATTCAAGTTTCACAATTTAAAAAACCTGCTTTTTTTTGAAAAAAAATTGAGCCACCGGATTTTTTCTGTAATTTGTTCCCCTAATTTTAATCTATTACCGATGTTGTCACGTTTTTAAGATATTCTATTTTTTAACTGAAAATTTCAAAACTTCACCTAAACGCTACTCGTATTTATTACACGCCACCCAGAGGGTATTCCAAAGGAGCGTTTCTTGTTTAACGGTGATCGCCAGTAGAACTATTATCTCACACAATAAATAGCAAAACCTTATCTGCGATATTTAAATAGGATATTATGCTAGGGAAAATTTGCAGTGAAGAGGCAATTCTAAAAAGTTTTCGAAAAATATACAGAGAAATTTAAAAGAAAATGCACGATTTTCAATTTTTTTTTGCTAAAATAACCTCATAACCGCATAAATTTTCTTTTTTTTGCTAAAAAACCTCATAGACGTGTTCCTGGGATCGAAATAAATAAATGCCTTTATTGTCAAAAAAATTTACAATTTGTAGACAAAGTTAAAGTAAATAAACAAAAGAGAATACAAAACAAGTATACAAATTACATTGTCAGTCTTACTGTTTAAACATTTATAAAAGTTTACTATGTCAAAGAATAAAAAAATAAAAATAATATAATAATACCTCCCGTATATAGCGTTTGACGCATTGGGAGTAGCAAGGTACAGCTTGCTATACTAGAGCCGTTCGGTATACAAGGAAGGTAATGTGGCTAGCACTACGCTTCAACCGCCTATTATTACCTGAGGATTGTGAATCCGAAGTACTCATTTAAGGCTGAGTCGACCTAGGTACCCAAACTATTTTTATTTTAATAAAAATAGTCGGCTGATGAAATGCCGGGTGTGGGAATCGACCCCACACCTTGAGATTGGTAGACGAGAGCCTGTATCTCTACGCCACCGGGCACCATAAAAATAAAAAAAAATAAGATTCAAAAACATTCAGTTAGTTTATAGTAAATTTAGTAATAGCAAATATTAGACCAATGTTTACAAGATCAAATTCGATTATCAAAATAAAGTCATTTACGGCGTAGAAAGCATTGTCTAGTAAATAAGATTTAAATGCTTTGCGAAATGAAGAAAATGATGTTATGGATTTGATTATAACAGGTGATTGCGCATTTTTTTCGAGTTGTATAATATTGAACTTTTAACTAACTGAGCGTGAGGTAGGTAGATAAAGATCTTGCTCCGCGTTCCTGAGTGGATAAGTGTGAGATGACCTTTCTTGAGAAGCTGATACATGCTTACGTATTAGGCAAACGGATTCAAATATAAATAAGGAAGGAAGAGTTAATATTTTTAATTTTTTAATTTTTTTATACCCCTGAAAATATTTGCACTTATTTAAGACCCTAGATATCATAAAATGTATCACAAAATACATTTTAGAACAGTTGATTAGGATAACTCTGAGATCGACAATTTTCATCGGCCTTCTTATATTATAGATAATAATTTAGGAAGTTTACACATATTTACCAATAAAAATGGTCCTTTAGCAGCCCAGTCTCTACTCGATCCCGATCCGTAATCTTTGCCGGCAATAATGATTAGAGGTGTGCTTTGTGTTGCATACCTTTGGGCAGCATCAAATACGTCCATCTAAAAGACGAAACCAAAAATAACATTGAGAAAAAAGAAACATTTACAGAAACAGACCTCCTCGTTCGTTGGCAAGAATAAAGTCTTTGGACCGGCTTTGCTCATAAATTTGTTCACCAAACGAATATTGGCAAAAGTACCTCTGGCCATTATAGCGTCGTTTCCTCTTCGAGATCCGTAGGAATTGAATTCCCTAGGTGTCAGTCCCTTGGAAGCCAAAAATCTAAATAGAATAAAAATGTAGAAATCTTCCCTAGATATCTATTCGTGACATCATTCGCAACTTGGCGTCCAGTAGGCTGGGAAATGACGATCAATGACATTTCCCATATAAATTTATATATAAAATGACAGCGATCTTCATTTCATAGCCATCGCTGACGTAGTTTTTTTTTTCGTTGGACAGACTAAAGTTTGATTTTCATGCGTCCGTTATCCGTTGATACGATTCGCGCCACATTTCATCCGGAAATGAAGAAAGATCGTGCGATAATGGAAGTTTTGACACTTTTTTGACAATTTTAATCTAAGGCTGTATTCCGTTGCAAAATCAGGCGAACCAGATCGGCAAACTACGGTAAAGAGCGGTTCCTGAAAAACATCGGTTTGATACGGAACGGTTTGGTAAAATACAGGAAACGTCAAATATTGACGTTTTCTAAATTTCAATACCTCTATCTCTGCCTCTATTATAAAATTTATCTTTTATGCATTTTTAATGTGCCTATTCTCTGCTTTTACGTTTGCTTCTTCTTTTCAATGGAGTTTAATATTGAAAAGTACTTTATTAATAAACTATTAAACTCGTTAGACAGCTCAAGTGAAGATTTGCAGGTCCACTATTAAAACAGATCAATAATAAATAAACAAATCTAATCAATATTTATATTTTTATAGCTTACAAAACATTCACGATTAATGTATTGTTTTACATGTTTTCTTAATATGTTCCTGACTTTATAAGTTTAAATGGTCATAAAAAGTCATTAGACTATAAGCAAAAGTGAAACAGCGAAATCGTTATGGAAATGAAAATATAAAAGAACACCAATCACAAGCAAATCCTACATCCGATGAACATGAAAATGCAATAAATTTAAAAACCGCCTAATTTTCTAACCAATCGAAGTCTTTAAATTCAACCAATAAAATTAATATCTTATCATCGTATCGTCGGATAACGATTGCATGAAAATCAAGCTTTATCCGTCTTATTTTTACATGAAAAAAGTTCATAGCTATTTCAAACTCCTATACCTGGCTGCTGGACTTGCCCTTCCAATAGAACCTGCCGGACTGATATGATCTGTGGTCACGGAATCGCCCAAAAACAAAAGTACTTTGGCACCGTCGATTGGCTTAGTTTTGGGCAAATCGCGCGTCATGCCATCGAAGAATGGCGGTCTCTTGATATAAGTCGACTCCTCCGACCATGGATATAGTTGACCTAAATAAAAATAACGCTACAAATAAATATCTACTAGTAAAATAATTGTTTTAAAAAACTTACCAGCAGGTGCATTCAGCTGTTGCCACTTGGAAGATCCAGTTTCGATTCTAGAATAAACCTCCTTGAACATGGCTGGAATAACATAGTGCTTTTCGACTTTTTGAATATCATCCCGTGTTGGCCATATGTCCCTTAGGAAAATGTCCGTGCCATCTGATTTTTTACCTAGACAGAATTATAGATACTTTTAATGTTTATAGCGGGTGGTTTTATATATAGGAAATCCCATGCAAATTTTGAACCGTCCAAATATTGGCTCCCTTCTTGAATATAAAGCAAAGTCGTAAATAGTTTTTTAAAGGTCTGCGTATGATTAATACACGTGCTAAATTAAAACAATTTTGAACAAGCCGATTTCTTTTGAGCCGATCTATTTTTGAATTGAAACTGAACAGGTATCAATGCACCGATACATACCACTGATATCACTAGAATGTAGAATGTTTGGGAGGGGGATTAATCACCGCGACCTTAAAGATCTATTGTGTGTTCCCCTTTCTTGAGTTATAACGAGTTATACAGTCTCAGGGCATCATACAGCCTCAGGACTTTCACAAAAGCCAGTATTTGAGACGACTTCACAGAGGCCAGCCAAAGTTTATGGCACGAGTGGTTGTCGTCTCGACGCACTCAGTAATGAGGTGTTCTGGTGTTTACCCATATCCACGCAAACTCTGCATTAGCCGTTGTTTCTTAAGCTTGATTTTCATGCATCCGTTGTCCGACGATACGTTGATACGATATTAATTTTATTGGTAGAATTTAAAGACTTTGATTGGTTAGAAAATAACGCAGTTTTTAAATTTACTGCATTTTCATGCCTCCGTTTATCGGATATACGTTGGTGTCATTTTATATTTTCGTTTCCATAACGATTTTGCTATTTTACTTATATTTTTATTAAGGATAGATTAAATTTGCCAAAAAAGTGTCAAAACGTCCGTTCTCGTATGAACGGGTGCGTTGACGGGCTAAAGTAAAATATTTATGGATGAATAGTGGCGCGAAAACGCTATGACCAATCAGAGCACCGTCGGACCAACGTATCAACGTATAACTCTCAATAACTTTACCCTCAATCTACTGAGGTGTTCGTTGAGGAGATAGTGTCCTGTTAAAAACCCCTTTACAATTCGAAGATTATTCTTACTCAAATCAAGGAAAATCTTTGATTTTTCTCGGTCTGAAGTTCTGACAAATTTCTTCGAGTGTCTTAGACCGTTGGAGGACTCCCATTTTAGGTTACGGATGGAGTTTTCCAGGTCTTTCAATTATAATACCACTAAGTCGTTAGTGGTTAGAATTTAAACACGAAAGTTATCGTAAAAACTGAGATATTCTACCTTAATGTAGTGCCATTGCCAGTGAAAAAACAAGTGTAGAGGCATGGGTATACCAATAAGTGAAGATTCTTGCAATTCGCTGACGACCAGGTTATTTGTGCAGCAGACAAAGATGACTTGGAATATATGACACGAAAACTTAAAAAGGAATATCAAGTTTGGGAACTGGAGATAAATATCACAAAAACTAAATATTTCTGCCTTGGATCGGATCAAACAGCAATCGGATCAAAACTGGATAATGAATATACACAAACATGTAACGAATAAAAATACCTAGGCGTTACTTTCGACAAATCCGGGAAAGACGACAACGAAATAAGCTCGAGAATAGCCAAGGCCAGAAATGCAATAAAATGTCTGAATAATATACTCTGGAGTAACGAAATAGGTACAGACAACAAATAATAAGAATAGGAGAATAACAAAAGAAAATTACTGGCGGTAGAAATGGAGGCGATAAGGAGGTCAGCACGAACATCAAGGCTGAATAGACTACAAAACGAGACAATCAGGGACAAAATAGGTAGACGGAAAACTACAGTAGAGGAAATGGAAAGTGTCCAAATGAAGTGGTATGGATATGTGAGAAGGATGGACAACACGCGACTGTCCCAGAAGGTACTAAACTGGCTTCCACAAAAGAGAAGGAAACGGGGAAGACCAAGGACAAACTGGATGGAGGGTGTAGGCGAGAGAAGGCGATGACCTCAAGGGATCTGCGTGACGGAGACTGGGATGAACGAAACCAATGGCGACCAGGCATCGCACAACGTCGACGGACCTTTTAAAAGCGATTTTTATATATTATATATATACAGTGTAGTGCAATAACACTGTTTTTTACCGTCCTCATCTTGCGCTACCTCTGACCCCAGAGCAAATGGAATGGAGCGAGGAAAGACGAGAATGGAATATGGAATGGACCTTAGTTGGTGTTCAGCGATGAATCCAGTTTTACTTATGGATGATGATGATGGCCGTTCCAAAATAAGGGGGAGACATGGCGAAAGAGGGAATTTTTAATCTTCAATTCAAGGTGGCATGATTTTCCAGCACATCAATGAGGTGCTCTAGCCACATTTGCTTCCTTTTCTGGCTTCAATTCAGGTTTTCAACAAGATAATGCATGATCACATATGGCCAGCGTAATTCTGACTTCAATGGCCTTCTCAACCTCCAGACCGTTTTCCGATAGAACATGACTGGGGTATAATGGTAAGAAAGCGACATAATTTAGTACCCCCACAAACACTGCGCAAGAAATGTCAGTTGGCCTGAGATACAATACCTCAAGAAGAGATCCTTATGCAATAGATGTCACGACGATTTCACGAGTGTGTAGAAACCAGGGATCAGATCAAGAGGAGCATCTACACATTACTAAGATAGAGATTAACGTTAAGTCAGTTTTTATGAGACGTTTTAGGTTTAAATTCTAATCACTAACTACTTACTGGTAAGTCAACATTTGAATTGCTATAGTTGATAAACTATAATGTAAATTAAAGCACTCTTCATAGGTGCATTTTCAATGTCACTTAGTATACCGGGTCGGCATTTCTGACATTGGGTGTCGATTTTCCTGTGTACAGAGACAAGAGAACAGCCAATACGCTCAGTACTATAAGACGTAGTGAATAAAGAACGAAGAACAAGTATTTTCGAAAATATGTTTCAAATGTACATGAAATCTAGCGTCGGATTAAGGGGTTATGTAATATAAACACTTCGCATTTTTCTCTCTCGTAGCGATTCTCCTATAGACATGTAAATACCGACCAAAGACTTCTCTTGCCGATATGGTATATGTTTGGATATGTGTTATAATGTTGAAATGTTAAAAATAAAAGTTATTTACCAATAGGTTCAATTTCGAAGTCGATATCCACCCTTCCAGCAATAGCATAAGCAATAACCAACAAAGGACTAGCCAGATAGTTTGCTCTAGTATTTGGATGAATCCTTCCTTCAAAATTCCTGTTACCTGACAGTACACCACAACAAACAAGATCGTTCTGCTCGATGGCACTCGCAATATTCTCGTCGATACCTGTGAAAATTTGTATTTTTAAGTAACTTTTTAGTAAACTTGCAAAAAAATGAAATATAAGTATTACCTCCGCTATTTCCGATACAAGTCATACATCCGTAACCGACTATGTTGAATCCAAGTTGTTCCAGTGCGGGAATAACACCGGATTCTCGTAAGTAGTACGTTACTACACCAGAGCCGGGAGAAAGGCTGGTTTTGATATAAGGTTGAACCTAAGAAATTATAAAACACTGTGTAGTAGAAACCTGGTGAAATAATCAAATGATGAAATAATGAAATAATCAGATCTGGAATGACTGAGACCAATCGTTTTGACAGTTCGTGTCACTTGTTCTCTACAACTTTGTTTACATTTTGATTCAAACATTTTCTATATACAGGGTGACCCCTCTCATACGCTGCGGAGGCTCCAAGGAGAACGACAGTTTGTATTGAAATTAAATTTTGTGAGCATATATAGGTTAATTCAGAGCACTTTTTAAAAATACAGAGAGTTCTACAGGGTGTCCCCAAAAAAAAGTTACATATCAAAGTTGTCTTTTTTTGCAATGGAACACCCTATATATTAATTGATTTTCGGATCCTGAGAGAAAAATAAAGGTGATTTTTATAAGAGAAGTATATGACTAAAATGTAAGGTTTTTGTTAAAGGTAATAGTTAAAGGTAATGTTAAAGTTATAGGGAAATTAAAACAACTTTGGGTGCACGTCATCAATGACACCATGCGTCGTCTTATGGAGTTTGCTGGTGGTCGTATTATGATGTGCAACCAAAGTTATTTTAATTTCCCTATATTCAACATTTTCTATAAATAAATAACAATTTTTAAATTACAATAAAAGCTACTTAAATTGGAATTTACCCGGTATATCCTAATCTGTAGTTAAATTAACTATTGTACTTAATCAAATTAAAACGTGATCCAAAAAGTTATACAGGGTACAGGGTGAGACAAAATTAACATTGGTCACCTTTAAAAGCATGCTACTCTTTTATTTTAAATGAAACACCCAGTATATTATTCCGATATTCAATGGAGAATTCATGTCTCTTCAAAATACTATTAAGGTTGCCTACCCCCTCATACAAAGATTTTCCTAGATATATTTGTTTCCATGATTTGATCTGAGTAGATCTTTATTATTTGATAAAATCTAGGTAGCTGTGATATGTCTGACGTTACTTCAACATTCCTGTCTAATTAGTCCAACTTTAACAACTAGTTATCATTTTGTGTCAGTTAAAACTTTTGAATAAGAAGACTAAGGAAGGAGCATATCAAAAATCTTAGGTACACCGCGATAGGCCTCAAATATGGCCGACTTAAATTCCGGTTTATCAGTGTCGTTCTAATTTTATTTAAAAAATGTAAAACTATGATGTAGGGTAGACGTGGGGTAGACTAATAATTTGTTGTTTTATTTTACGTTGTGAATAAATGTTGGTAGTTATTAAAATTGTTATAAAAATATATAATTCTAATAAAAATAGATAAGTCATAATAAGTATTTATTAACACAAACATCCGATACGCTACTGAAGCAGGTAAGTCAAATTATCGTATCTAAATTCTTTGACATCTAATCTTTGACAAGTAATAAATAAAAGCTAAAATGCAAGAAAAATATATAATTTAGTTAGTTTAAGTGAATTTCATAAATGATCGGTTTACTACACGTATGTATATTACACTTACTAGGGAAAAGTTGTTCCATTATTTCACTCAATGTTTGCCGAGATCTACCGCACGCTACACAACCAACTATTTTAGAATCTTTTTCGATAAATCGCGATAGTGTCACTGTTAATTTAAGTTCTGCCACAATTTCCATCTAGATTTACTACCTTTATACAACTATCAGTAGTAGAATAAATAATAAATAACATAAAATAAGCTCCGTAAAGACTGACAAATCCACAAAATTTCAAATCAAATTCAAATGTGTCAAATGAATCGTCAAACAGAACTGTCAAGGATCCCCACCCTAGAGTGCTTTTATGGTGCTTTTTCCGCCCACCATGCATGAATACATGAATAGCATTATGCTCCTTCCTTGGTCTTCTTATTCAAATGTTAAAACAAAAAAAATTCTCAGAAATTTACCGAAAACGGAAACTATCCTATATCAGAGAAAATTGATATGAATATAAATTTTCTCTTAATCGAGTAATTTTAATTAATTAATAGACTACTTGAATGCTCCCCATTTTATCTAGTCTGTTTTTTTATGGGGATATGTTACAGACAGTGCTTACAAAACTCGACCAACTATTGTCGACAACATGAGAGAAATTATTGTAGTTGCTTTTCGAGGTAGAACTCCACATAAATTCCTTTTAAAATGAAAAGATCCTTTTGAAAAGACAATCATTTTATGCAGTTAACAGGAAAGGAAGCATTTTGAGCATTTGATTTCATTTAGCTAATTTTGGTCACAATTATAGCTTTATATCTAGTTTTAATTCTGTAATAATTAAAATATATTTTAAACGTGTATCTTTTTATTACCGTTGAGTATTTTACTCTACAATCTTTAATTTTTGTTAAATTAACAAAAGGTATATCGCACAGCCCTAGATTTTTTCAAATAATAAAGATCTACTGACGTAAAATCATAAAAATTAAAATATCTAGGATTGTCATTTCCCAATCGTCATTTTGTCGGTTTTTTTTCTCGAGCATACGGTATAATGTCTAGTATTAAGGAGAAAGTTAACATTTAAGAGAGTTACAATCTGACAGTAAATCCAATAATAGTTTTTCTGAAAAATTAATAAAAATTCTAGCTTACATATTTATAATATTCTATGGGTCTTTAAGTGGCACATTAAGCTAATCCCTTATTCAAGAATGGTTATAAAATGCTAATAGGAATTAAATTATGACAAATTTGCTGGGTACGATTATTTGGGTCTTGTTCAACAAGTCTAAATTACTCAGAAATATGTTATTTTTAAAATTGTATTATACAGGATGAGTCTTAATAACTAGGGCTGGTAAATATCGATAAAAAAGGACATCTTTTTTGCCGTTTTTCTAATAAGTTCAAAATATCCCAGTTATTTTATTTTGAAAATTAAAAAGCAGTATATTAAAAAGAGAGTATTCTCTTAAATTCTGAGAACCACTGGAATTTTTTGTCTTGTCGTTTTTCTAAATCTAATATACTATACTATACTACTAGCTATGTTGCCATATTATCAAGATATTGTCTTTGAATGTGGCAGACAATGATGCAGTATTGATATTAAAATAATTTCGGACTTTCATTGCCATTGTCTAATTTTGCCACACTAGAATTTTCCAAGCTAAGCTATATGCTATTCAAACCTATGTCCATTTGTCCTGGTAGAGCGGTAATACACCGTGAATACAATATACATATATTCGAATAGTTAAGCCGCACTGAAAGTGCTTGAAGCAACTAAATGCATGTCCATGACTGTAAACAACTACCCAATTTATTACGGAGAAGATATGAACAACGTATCGTTAATATGGATACCAGGACATGTTCGTCTAGAGAGCAACAAACGTGACGACTCCCTAGCGAAAACAGGTAAAGGTACGTCATTGGTGGATCCAGAACTTCCAAAAAATCTCACAAGAGACCAGCTCTGTGAATGGGTTAGGGAAATGAAGATTCAAGACTGTAGACGGTCCAGGAATAGAACATGAGAAGAGGATCTTCAATAGGCCATCCAAACGCAGAAGCGAAGAACTCTTTAATGCAGGCAGAAATCGTGCGCGTAAGCTCACTGCAGTATACATACGCTACTGCAGGCTGAGACCACATCTGCAGAGGATGGCACTGGTGGAAGACTCTGAATACAGACTCTGTAGGGAAAGTGAGGAAGTGCTATTACCATGAAGTTACGATATGAGTACCTCCCCCGTTGGAAGCAGGACCAAGTTTCCTTTGTTTGGCCAAACTATGCTGGACTTATCAGACCTTGGTGACAATTACGCTCGGATATAGTAAAAGGTTGTGTCTTGGGGTAACATTTAAAGATTATAGAATTGAGCCAATATAAGTTTTTGCGGCTGCATTGGAGTGGTACCTGGTGGCGACCTACTCTTAGTAAAATACACATACGATACACCTGGTTTCGTTCAGTTGTATAACTGACCGAACCGTTGTGTAAGTTAAAATAAATAAGGATAATAAAGTTCACATTTCTTTTAATATCATCCAGATATTATCATCTAGTACATGTTTTGTGCGGTGAATTATTGATTAGATGCGGTGAATTATTGATTAGACTTACTGTAAGCCCTGCTGCAACGGCGTTCTTTGCTAAAAGACCCGCTCCAAGCATAACGCTGGGATTGCTGGTGTTCGTACAAGAAGTGATAGCAGCTATAATGACACTTCCATGGCCAATTGTATATTGCTTTCCATCGAAGAGGAATTTTGACCTGGTGCTGAGTCGGTCGTCGGGTATACCAAAGCCCTTGAATCCAACCTAATAAGAAAATAAGAATGATTAGTAATTAAAATATGCAAAAAGGCATATAATGCTGATGATTTCGTATGTTCAATAACGTAATAGTATCATACAGGGTGGCGCCTTTCATACCACGCGGAGACTCAAGGGGAAATCAAATTTTGTAAGCTTATGTAGGTTAATTAGGGCTATTTTTAAAAATACATAGAGTTCTACAGGGTGTACCCCAAAAAAGATACACATAAAAGTAGTGTTTATGGTAGTGTATTAATGGATTTTCGGATTTTAGTAAAAAATAAAGGTAATTTTCATTAGAGAAGCGTAAAATTAAAATGTAATTTTCTAAAAAATGAAAAAAAAATAAATAAAAGCTATCTAAATTGGAATTTGCTCGGTATAGCCCAATATGTAGTTAAATAACTATTGTACTTTAAACCAAATTAAAACTTGACCTGAAAAGTTATACAGAGTGAGACAAAATTGATATTGAACATTGGCCACTTTTAAAGGCAAGTTACTTTTTTATTTCAAATGGGGCAATCAGTATATACTTATTCAAAATAATTCCAATTCCAATATTCAAAATAATATTATTCCGATATTCAATGGAGTTGGTTAGGTTAGTAGGACTTGCTTAACCTTGCCGAAATTATAATCGATTGTCATTCCCCAGCCGATTTGACGCCGTTTCTTTTTCGATTGTATGGCACTTATGTATATTGACCAGAATATTTCGAGCTTAAGAGAATGCAGACACTTTTATCAAGAATTAAAATTTCTCAGAACTATAGAAACATAAATTTCTCAGAACTATAGAAACAGAAATTTCTCAGAACTATAGAAATCTAAATTTAAAAAAAAATCGATGTGTCCAAAATTTTTGATAGACACTGTATAATGGCAATACCATTAAAATGAATACGTTCATACAGGTATATCGATGCAAAAAGGTATTTTCTTGATCGACGATACTATCAACATATTAACGAAAGAGAAGAATGCATACGAATGAAATGACACGAGTAAATAATTTTTATTGCAGTTGAATCTTTCATTGAGAATTTCTGTCGTTATTAACTGCAAATAAGTAGATAAGAACATAATAGGAAACGATAAAATTATTGGAGGTAAAAATATCAGTCTAAACAATAGTCGCGATATCGACGAAATTGCAAGGAACTACCTGCACATATTCTGATTTCTTGTCTAGACAATTATTTGCATATTTTTAGCTAAACGTGTTTACTACAAAACAATTTGATTGAAATTGTTATGCATTAACTTTACATGGATGCAATAGAACAGTACAAAAAAGTTAATTCTATATAAAATTATTGCGATAAACTCACAATATCTGATCAATAAATAAACTTTGGTAAATACTTAGTATTAAAAACTTTGATACCCTTGGAGAAATGAAGCCTTAACATTTTTACTGCAATTTCATAAAATTGCAAATATTTCAAAAACGGTAAGGTTTAAGTGTGAAAAACCTTAATCAAATTTACCTTTATTTCAATCGTAGAATCTAAAAATAGGATAATATACAGGGTGTTCCATTTAAAAAATATAACTATAATATTTTTTACTTATTTGGGACACTTTATATCTCGTAAAAACATTTTTAAATTGAAGCTCTGATAGTCCTTCGACGAACCTAGAACTTACAATTGGTAAAAATCTAATCGTTTAGCTACAATACTCCGTGTCGTATGTGGTGAACAACCCTGTATATGTTATGCTACAAAAAATTAAATAAGATAATATATCAGCTATTTTGTGTTTCAAGATTTAATACAAAACTCAAATTTGTATTCTATTTGTATCATTCCAGACTTGAAAACACTTCATGAAAATCAAAAAGTTCTTAAAAAATAACAAAAAGTAACAAACAAAAATATAATCTTATTTGTTACCAAAGATTACAATCCCAGATTACTTTAGATAAGGTATTTACTCCTATTTTTCCTTCCAGTAAGTACTTGCGTGCTTTCAAGTACACAATAATTCAAACATTAAAATCAAATTCAAAAAGCATCACTTAATGAACATTTATTAAAATAAGAAAGCCACTAATGTGATACTTAATTCTAATAGCCCCGAAATTTTGTATTTAAATACTCATAAATTTAAAATATACTAATAATTTAAGTAGAGTCATAAAATAGGTATTTGCCAGATCCTGTAATTTAAAATATATTTGTATTCTATGCAAAATAAACCTTTATTATTCGTTTACGCTATTTCTCTAAAGCTGCGTCTCCACATAATGTTTTACCTGTCAGTTTTGCATGTCAGGTAAAACGGAAAAAATTGACCGCCATCTCAAGATGGTCGTCCGTTTTATTCCTGTCTAAACATAACGTTTTAAGACGGATTAAAAAGTAGCGTCCCATTTTAGTTGAAATCATACGGTATCTCCGCTATTCGAGAAGATAGAAGGGTGCGGTTTGCACAAACCTGTGCCACCTGTGTTTTTTTGTCAAACGGAAGATGCCGTAAACAAAATTTTCATAGCTCTCTTCGTTTCTGAGCTAGAGGGTCTTCTTGAAAATTTTGCGATTTACGACACCCCCTGCATCTCTGTTATTGTTAAAGGTATCAAGAAGGTGAAAACTGTTTATTGTAGAACTGTTTACGTAGAATACAGTAGCGTAGTCTTTTATTCTACGAAAAGAATATTTTTAAAGATATGAACTAAAGTTATGTTTTCATAAATGGAATACCCTGTATATTTATAAATTATATGATCTGGCTTGCCATAAAATATATATCCCTCTATATTATTTATTTTCACTATTTACTGCAATTTTAAAAAAAATATATATTAGATCATATTTATTAGTAGGCCATGATTGATAATAAAAGAAACTAAAGAATTATTAAAAGTATACTGCTATCTGTCTCTTATTTTATTTTGAGAGCCACAAATAAATTCTTTATATATTAGGGAAACTTAACTTAACTTTTTAGTTAATTTACGTGAAATATACTTTCAGCAAGATAGGGCTCCCTCTCACAACTTAACTTACAACGAAAATATTAGGATTATGTTAAACTATTATTTCTCAAATCAATGAATATGAATTGGAACCAATAGGCACATATGATGGCAAACCCATCCCGTTATAAGTAAATTCCGTTATAAAAAAAGAAAAATATATCCAGAGATTCAGTGGTAACAGTAACAAAAGTAAAATATATCATTCCAAATAAACTTTTAATATGCGTATGAATATTTTAGTAAATACCATTTTGCTTTTTTGTGGAACACCCTGTATTCTGCCTACTAATAAGGAAATGATATATTTTAAATATTGCAGTAAATAGTAAAAAAACATAACTTTAGTTCATATTTGTGTCAATATTAGCAATATACCGATCGAAAAAGAAAACCGTGTTCACTTGGAAATGAACATCTAGGTATGACATTCCGCATATGATTTTACATATAAAATGACAGAGATCTTCATTTCATAGCCATTGCTGACGCCGTTTTTTTTCGACAATATTGTATTACACCTCGGCTTTTAAAATCATTATGTGGCTTTAATAAAAAAAATACTGTTGCCGATAAAAAAAAACGTACGCTGGTAGACGTTTAGGTCCATGGATTGTAACTCACTATAAAAAAATTATTCCAATACCGACTATTATTATTTGCCAGGTCTATTCAAGAATAGCAACTAAAGGAAGTTTCCGACCCGAGTAGGTAATTTCTTCTAATACAGATCAAAGAATACAGTAGATGAATTAGTTTATTGCACTTTTTTGGTTAATGGTCCGCTATTAATGCACTTTTATTATTATATCACCATTATGTTTAAAGAGGTACAAAAACAGATTATGAACATTTCTGAATAATCTATGAGAATATTGAACTATACCGGGTGAGCCTCAAAAGTGGCTCACCTCTATAACTATTTTATTTTTTCAGATAAAAAAAACGAGATTTGGTATGTTAATATATGATATAAATTAGGATTAATTGACGGTATTCAATTGTTTTTGGTCGCTTCCTGTTTCACCGGAAATGCTTAAACTTTTGATTTTTAAATGGCACCTTCAGTATATTTCTACTTTATTCGATAGAAAATGACACTCTGAGTAGAATGACATCATATGTCAAATTTTGACATTTTCGCTTATAGCTTATTTGAAATTGTAACATGCGGTTCATAACGACAATTTGACTCGAAATACCAAGTGTGTGGTGCCAAATTATACGTAAAAAATGCTTTTTCTAAATATGCTAATGAGCCACCCCTGTTCCATTTAAAAAAAAAAATGTGATATGATTAAAAATACGATTTGGGCATCTTTTAACCAGGACAAGATACGAGAAACATTAGACGATTAAATCAATTTTTCCAAGGCTCCTTTGATTAAAAATTAGTGTTTTTAACACAGCTATAGCACTCTAGATTGAAATTTAAAATACAATTTTTTTTAAAGCGAAAGTGTCAAAAGTTGACATATGATATGTCATTCTATTCAGAGTGTCGTTTTCCATCAAATAAAGCAAAAAAATACCAATGGCCATTTAAAAATCAAAAGTTGTAGTTATTTCCGGTGAAACAGGAAGTGACCAAAAATAGTTGAACACGCCCAATCAATCCTAATTTATGTCATATACTAAAATACCAAATCTGGTTTTTTATTATGAATTATGAAAAAATAAAAAAGTTATAGGGGGTGAGACACTTTCGAGACGCACCCGGTATTTATATAACTGGAGATAATTTATTCTTAATAAAACTTGACTAAATACTAAATAGTAGGGACTATAGGACGATAATAAAAACTTCTAGGAAGATAGGTATACTTTTTAGAATTGGGTGATAAAATCATTTATTATTAATATTTCTGTCTCACAATGTATGAAGGTATTACATTTAACCTCAAATATAAATTAGGTCTACCCTACAATGGTTACTTTAATTGCATAGGATGCTATACAGAGTAAATTGTAAATTAGATACTTCTTAATTCAAGTTTTATAAAATAAACAATAAATT